TCAGTATATACATAGTATGGTGCAAATATCTCACTCAAATTATATCTGTTTGAGACAATGTGAATTCTGCCACACCCCTGAGATTGAGGGCTATCTACATGTTCATGCCTGAAAGCATCAAGACCCGACATCAATAACATCGAAAGCATCGAACTTCTGATGCCAACATTCACCCGGCATATAGTATTCTGTTCATATCTCACTCAAATCACATCCGTTTGAGATGATCTCAATTCTGACGGGTCCCTGAGAGCGAGGGCTATCTGGGTGTCAATACCCGAAAGCATCAGGGCACTCAGAACTCGGAACTCGGAACTCGGAACTCGGAACTCGGAACTCGGAACTCGGAACTCGGCACTCGGCACTCAGCACACAGCAGAAAGCTTGATTGCAACACTGAAGGCACTGAGGTGGATGAGGGGAACACCTCCTGACAGTGATCGAATGCCTGAACGCATCAGGGCACTCAGCACTCGGCACTCGGCACTCGGCACTCGGCACTCGGAACTCAGAACTCAGAACTCAGCACTTGGCACTCAACACTCGGGACTCATTCACCCTGTATCTTGGATTGTGCATATATCTCACTCAAATCATATCTATTTCAGACTATCTAAATTCTGATGAATCCCTGAGATCTAGGGCTATCTGCATGTCAATGCCCGAAAGCATCAAGAGCCGACATTAAAAACATCGAAAGCATCGAACTTCTGATGCCAAAATTCACCCGGTATATAGTATTTTATTCATATCTCACTCAAATCACATCCATTTGAGATGATCTAAATTCTGACGGGTCCCTGAGAGCGTGGGCTACCTGGGTGTTAATACCCGAAAGCATCGGGGGTACTTGGCACTCGGAACTCGGAACTCGGAACTCGGAACTCGGCACTCAGCACTCGGCACTTGGTACTCAGCCCTCGGTAGTCAGTGTGTGGTATTCATTTGGCACTCAGAACTCGGCACTCAGCACTCGGTAGTCAGTATATACATAGTATTTTGCAAATATCTCACTCAAATTATATCCATTTGAGACAATGTGACTTCTGCCACACCCCTGAGATCTAGGGCTATCTACATGTTAATGCCCAAAAGCATCAAGACCCGACATCAAAAACATCGAAAGCATCAAACTTCTGATGCTGAAATTCACCCGGTATATAGTATTTTATTCATATCTCACTCAAATCACATCCGTTTGAGATGATCTAAATTCTGACGGGTCCCTGAGAGCGAGGGCTATCTGGGTGTCAATACCCGAAAGCATCGGGTCACTCGGCACTCGGCACTCGGAACTCGGAACTCGGTTCTTGGCACTTGGCACTTGGTACTTAGCACTCGGTAGTCAGTGTGTGGTAGTATTTTATTCATATCTCACTCAAATTACATCCGTTTGAGATGATCTAAATTCTGACGGGTCCCTGAGAGCGAGGGCTATCTGGATGGTAATACCCGAAAGCATCGGGGCACTCGGCACTCGGAACTCGGCACTCGGAACTCGGCACTCAGCACTCGGTAGTCAGTATATACATAGTATTTTGCAAATATCTCACTCAAATTATATCCGTTTGAGATGATCTAAATTCTGACGGGTCCGTGAGAGCGAGGGCTATCTGGGTGTTAATACCCGAAAGCATCGGGGCACTCGGCACTCGGAACTCGGCACTCAGCACTCGGCACTCGGCACTCAGAACTTGGTTTTCGGCACTTGGCACTTGGCACTCAGCACTCGGTAGTCAGTGTGTGGTATTTTGCATATATCTCACTCAAATTATATCTGTTTTAGACAATCTAAATTTTGCCACACCCCTGAGATCGAGGGCTATCTACATGTTAATGCCCGAAAGCATCAAGACCCGACATCAAAAACATCGAAAGCATCAAACTTCCAATGCTGAAATTCACCCGGTATATAGTATTTTGCTCATATCTCACTCAAATCACATCCGTTTGAGATGATCTAAATTCTGACGGGCCCCTGAGAGCGAGGGCTATCTGGGTGTTAATACCCGAAAGCATTGGGGCACTTGGCACTCGGAACTCGGAACTCGGAACTTGGAACTTGGAACTCGGAACTCAGAACTCAGCACTCGGCACTCAGCACTTGGGACTCGGCACTCAGCACTTGGGACACATTAAATCACATCTGTTTGAGATGATCTAAATTCTGATGGGCCCCTGAGAGCATGGGCTATCTGGGTGTTAATGCCTGAAAGCATCGGGGCACTCGGCACTTGGTACTCAGCACTCAGTAGTCAATATATTGTATTTTGCATATATCTCACTCAAATTATATCCATTTCAGACAATCTGAATTCTCCCACACCCCTGAGATTGAGGGCTATCTTCATGTCAATGCCCGAAAGCATCGAACTTCTGATGCCAAAATTCACCCGGTATATAGTATTTTGCTCATATCTCACTCAAATCACATCCGTTTGAGATGATCTAAATTCTGACGGGCCCCTGAGAGCGAGGGCTATCTGGGTGTTAATACCCGAAAGCATCGGGGCACTTGGCACTCGGAACTCGGAACTCGGAACTCGGAACTTGGAACTCGACACTTAGTGCTCAGCACTTGGTAGTCAGTATATTTTATTTTGCACCTTTCCCAAGTACATACCCTTAATTTCAGAATGAAGTCCAGATGAAATCCAATGAAGTCCGAAGGACTTCCGGAGACTGGCTACTCTGATGGAGTGCTGGAGGACTTCTGGATGAGCACAGGAACCTTCCGGAGGAGTATAGAAACTTCTAGAGAAGTACAGGAAACTCTGGAGGAGTTTCACCTGCTGCATAGGGTCCGAAGATAAGACTTCTGAAGGTAAGCTTCCTAGATGGAAGCACATGGAGGAGAGACTGCAAGGGACAGAGTCCAAAGCAGGATCTGATAGGAGGAGTGGTCCAGAGGACAGGATGTCTGAAGGTTGCGCCATCTGAATGTTCAGATGTCCAAAGGTTATGATGTCTGAAGGTCATGATGTCCAAAGGTTACAATGTCCAAAGGTTTTGATATCCGAAGGGTAAGATGTCCGGAGATCCAAAGGTCTGGAGGTCAGCAGGAGTGGACAGGATTATAGGACAGGAGAATAAAGACTACCATGGACAAGGTCTGGAGTAGAAGCAAACAGAGGTAGGCTACACTTAGGTGGAGTCGGAGATAACAGGAAGTAGACATAAGTCTTGGAAAGACAGGAAGTGCCAGAAAGGCAAAGGTCCAGCTTAAGGAATCAATCCTTAAGCTTGGATAGAGATGGAAGGACAAATCCAAAGGTTTGGAAGTCCAGCCTAAGGAATCCTTCAGGTTGGACTCGGATCTCAGTACACTTCACTTGATTTTTGATATCCGGGACTCCATAGTCGGAACTTGAGTCTTGAATCTCGGGTGTCGGGTGTCGGTTGTCGGTTGTCGGGTGTCGGGTGTTGGGTGTTGGGTGTTGGGTGTTGGGTGTTGGGTGTTGGGTGTCGGGTGTCGGGTGTTGGGTCTCGATGGTCAGGACTCAATATTTGGGACTCGTTGGTCGGGACTTGATACTCGATTGTTGGGATTCAATGGTCGGGCATTGGGTTTCAGGACTCAAATCTCGGGCTTTGGGACTCGGGTTTCAAGACTCGGTAGTCGGGACTCAATGGTCGATTGTCGGGATTTGATAGTCAGGGCTCGGATATTGGTACACTTCACTTGATTTTCGGTAGTTGGAACTTGGCATTTGGCATTTGGTAGGCTTGGATGATGTTGGCTTTCAAAGATCTATTATCATATATTGCTCAATGAAATACCAGACGATTGGAAGTGTGCTGGACATCACATATTCATTTGTCGAGACCCGGGTCTCAGGAACTTGGTACACTTCGCTCGAGTTTCCACTTCACCCCTTTGCAAGGCTCCATGCCATACTACATCATTAGATGACTTTGAATTATTACCTCCATGATATACAACTAGCTGAGCTCCATCATGTCTACAATTATCATTCTCCTGGGCCCACCATTTATATTATATACCCCTACGTCGGCCTACCCGTCTATGCAATATATGTCTACCATTGGCCCACCCGTATATAATAAATCTTTCACCGCTCCCTCGGCCCACTCGTCTACAAAATAATACCAATACGTCGGCCCACCCGTCTACAAAATAATATTAATTCGTCGGCCCACCCGTCTAATATGATATATATCTGGGCCCACCTGTCTATGTGATAACAAGCACCCTTGATATACCCGGCTATTTGATACATATCTACCTTGGTACACCCATCTACATAATATCCAACTACCTCAGCCGATCCGTCTATTGAAAATTCATGTCCATCGGCCCACCCATCTACTTTACATATTCCCCACCTGGGCCAACCCGTCTCCATCGGGAATAATAACACTCCCGGCCCATCCGTCACAGTCGAGGATATATCTACCTTCGGCCCATGGTCCGCTGGCCCGTATCATACGGGATATTATGCACATCCGTTCACTCGTATAATACGGAGATATGTTACTGCAATATGTGGATATGGCCACTAGAGCTAACTGCTACTAGGGCTTGCGATGATTTATTCAAAACATAATAAAAACTCGGAGATGGTGACTGTCTATGATGATGGTGGTCCCTGGTAATGTGTGTTGTGTTAAGTAAAAAAATGTGTAATGAAAAATGTGTACCAAGTGAAAATAAACATGGTACGATGTTGAAATAAATGATAAATGGAGAAATGCATACCTGGGAACTTGGTTGGACATGGGAAAACACAGTGGGAAGTCAGGCGCCCTATGGCGCTTAGGCGCGGGAAAATTCGCCTAAAGCGCGCGCAAGTCGCGGAAGTGTTGCCTATGTCGCGGAAGTGTCGCCTATGTCGCGTGTGTCGCGCGAACATCGCGTTTATTGCGCAAGTGTCGCGTTGCATGCATATTACTGTAGACTCGACCTATGTTGCAATATATGCCATTGTGAGGCTACTCAGGATCAAGTCTCTACACCGCCTATCATACAACCCCCATCTATGCAGCGCGGGGAATATCTCATACCAGTCGCAAAGGTGCCTAGCACGCAACCTCCATCCCGTCAGCATGGAGAACCTCTTGCGCCGGCAGCTAAGTCGCCTATCATGCAACCTTCATCCCTGCAGCCTGTGGCGATTCCAGGCCAGCCCGCTCTGGCAGTCCATCAAGAACACCGGGATCCTGATGTGGAACTCCCCCCAACCATAGCAACGCATCATGGGCGCAGTGAACATGCCATGGAAATACCACGATCCCACTATGAGCGGCGTGTGGAACCTGAGGCGTCAGCCATGCCTACTGACAGAGATGTCAATGCTGAGGGTCATTCCATGATGCGGCCGCATGATGGAGACGCGAGACCGGGTATGTATGGCCGCCCAAGAGGTCCAATGATGCCGCGGTTTGCACCAGGCTTCGCCCGCTACCCGCCGTCAGAATATTACCATGATCCTCGCATGCCTCATGCCCCCCAGGCCCCTCATGGTCCTCAGCATCAGTATCGCAGTGGTGGGTACCACGATGCTCCCTACCGCGACAATCAAGATGGATACGAGGGATACGTCGAGAGCTACTGGCACCCTCCCAGCCATGCTTATTTCGGTTCGGGAGGGAGATACGAGCACGGCTATGGGCGGGAGTATCCTAATGAGTATCCCAAGGACCAGGAGGATGGAGGACAGGCTCCTTAGACTCGCACTCACAGTCCTTGTTTGCCCTTGGCCATGCACATATTGAGTCCTGCGTTGTCATGTAACTACATATCGAGTTTGCGCATCTAACGTTTCTTGCCGTTCTTGCCATTGACGTATTCATCGTGTTCTACCGTAGTCAATACATCTTGTTGTGTCTGAATCAGGCCTTGTTTCGTGAGTGAGGAACAACATATATTCAAATTGTGCTATGGTCATATTGAGAGAGAGAAAACATAACCCCAGAGCTTACAAAGATATCCGCCATCAGTCGCCACGTCGCAGGCAACATACGGAGATGGTGACATTGTGGCCCTCGTCACACTTGCAGACGTTGTGGGCAACATACAGAGATGGTGGCATCGTGATCCTCATCAGACAGCAACACCATCTGGAGAGGGTGCTGTGGTGAGGTTCAAGAGAACATCCTGAAGACATTACCTCTGCTACGACGGCATACCTGTATCCTCTCGCAAGAGATCCTCCCAGCCCTGCGAAAGTAGGGGGAGACCTCTGGGAGGAGGGGGTCTCTCAGACCATATATCCCCTACATAAGAATGGGGTCTGACGTACCGTGGGAACATCGCCAAAGTGGTGCCAAGGGTGGGTGCTGCCCTAACCAGGCAGCGTGACTGTTTGTCACATTATACAATCACGTTGCTCTTTGTCCTGCACTATCAGCTGTGTTCAACCCCAACAGCCCTCGACACTACCTGATGAAGAATTTTGGCGGTCTTGTTCATTACTGGCTTAGGTATGAGAGTCTGAATGGTGCTCGCAGCTCTACCCTCCTCACCTAGTAACTGCCTTTCGTGTGCCGGGTGGTGAACTGGTGTAAATAGGTGGAGCTCGCACTGTTAAGATCTCGCTTCGTATTATCTATTGAAGTCTCGACGACGCGACATCTCGCTGATTTTGTCCACTTCGCCGCCGCCGCCAGCTCCAGCATGCTCCCATGATAGATATGATTGATGAAAATGCGACGGCCCGCTGCTTTGACTGGTCCAACAGCGAGTCTGGAGTTCATATTGTCATGCAGGCTCTGATCCTCACCCGTTTCACTCAGCATTTAAGCAGGAATACGGCGCCATATATCTTGCCAACGGAGATGATGCCTTCGCTGCAAGTGACTATGACATGTGAGTCTTTGAAAGTTGTAGTTTTGTTGATACACACTCACCTATCAACTACAGCAAGTTCTGGACATCGTTCCAGCTGATATTCGTGGAATGGAATATGCGACACGGGGGAACCTCTGTGACCATCAGGTTAGTAGTTACTCTCGTTGCCATCACTCAGCCACTATTGATGCACTCGCTTGTTCCCGAAGGTGTCTTTCTCTCTCCATAACTCGAACGATCTCATCATCTGTGCGAAGCATATCAAACACGACTCACCCATCCTCCGGCTCATTCCGAGCCACAAATTCGTGGATGACCTACCGACCACCTTCGTCGTGGGTCATACTCACTGGCTTAACCATACTCACTGGCTTAACCTGCGCATGAGCGAGATTGAGATTCGGGCAGCAGAAAATGTGTGGAAATCTTCGCCTGATAGCTGGGTCTTGCAATTTGCTGTTTCGGGTTCCTTCAAGTTTTTCTGCAAGCATACCCTGAGGCCACCTGCGGTGTCAAGCCACTTTTCGATGCCACCCAGCGCCAGCGTGAGGGACGCGGAGAAATCACCGGTCGAGCAAGCAAGAACGGCCGCCCAGAAGTCCGAGCATCCTCCTCCCGCTGAAGGCTATTACCCCCACATCCACGATTCACGAACCACACACGTTCATACACTCTCATTTTCCCCCCTTGTTTCGATGTTTTTCGCATTGTATTTTCACGCACCGTCACTCCCGCGTGCTCGGTTTGTCCCCGCAACTCAACAATTGTATCCCTAGATCATTTTCGTCACACTGTGGCTGTTGTAGTCTGACTGTCTTTGCCCTTTGTATCCGTCGATTTGCTTTGTTATAACGTTGTGTTAGATAGTCGGATTCATGTATTACCGTTCGAGCCGAGCGCTCTGAGCACTCGGAAAGTCGAGAGCGTCTGAAAACGAGAACAACCACTGGCAACAACGAGAAACGACGTGCGTCGCAATGAAGGAAGTTCAAGGAGGAGAGAATCCAGCGGAAGGTCACGTGACCGTAAAACCGCGTAAAACGCTCGACTTGAAAAATTGGTCATGGCAAGGGGGGGGCTCGCCGCAGGCGAGCCGAGAAGATTCCAAGGGTTCGCAGGGGGTCCGACTTCCGAAGCCGGAAAACGATCCCAGGGAGTCTGGCGTCCTATGGCGCAGGCGCGAACTTGCACCCTGGTCGAGGACGTTCAATCAATGATGCGAGTCCATTGCTGGGATGGACGACCACTGTCTAGGTTGGTGTGATCACTGTCTAGGTTGGTGCCTACCACCCTTTCATTTTCAATCATTGTCTGAACTATCTACAATAGACTTAGTGGTCCTGCGAATATCCTACCTTTGTTCCTTTGAATGGTTCATGCTCTCGAACTGCTACCGGTCGATTAGGCACATACGCGCCCTGGTACGCACCCTCTTACTACTTAGTGCGAACGGGTTTTTAAACTGACCATGGCTGATTAAATTTAGATGCACGGGTGAGAATGATCATCCTCGGTTAACTAAGGGAGTCGGTTTCAATAATTGGGACATTTATGTCCCCACAACGTTTCGACGGAGAGCAGCCATCGGCCCGGTCCTATTCTGAAGGCCATATCTCCAAGGTGAACTGAACTTGGTTATCTTTTGTATTTGCGGTACATACTGACACAATTCTCAACAACAGTGTATTGAATAGTTACCATAGCTTTACAAATGCCGCTTCGAGTAGAAACCAGTATCACACAGTGCATGTTTTACTCGCCAATTCAATCGTTTTCTTCCTCTTTGGGTTCCGTCTCGGCCTTGGCCTTCTCTGGCCTCTCATACAAGTCCTCCAAGTCTGAATCTTCTTCCTCTTTTGGTTCCGTCTTGGCCTTGGCCTTCTCTGGCCTCTCATACAAGTCCTCTGAGTCTGAATCTTCTCGCAGCCTCTGATTCCTCAGTTGTTGGATCTCGACTTTAGCCGACTCCATGGCAGCAATGCGCATGGCCCTCACCACCTTCTGTGTGTCTTTGTAGCTGCTCACATTTTTGTAGATGTCTTGAATAATGGCTGGCTGAAAGCCCGAGCGGGTCGCAAAAGAGTTCATCTGTTCGTCGAATCCGACTTGCACGAAGCGTGCAATGTCTGCGGGATGAATCTGGATGTCTGGCCGAACTCTGACAGTGTCATTGCTGCCGGTGAACACATCAAGCGCTTTCTCTGCATTTGTATGTGTGCTAGTATGTGTGTTAGCTCTCCCTGCAGTAGACTTGCAGGAGGGAATATGGATGTGCGGGGTCATTGAGTGTATTGAACTACTGTGTACTAGTAATTAGTATTTCCCTGAATTTACGCGATCGGTGTGCACTCCAATAACGATGTGGTGAATTCGGAATTTCAACCCACCAATCAGAAGTTCAGACAATATTCTTTCAACGGCAGTAGCTCGCGTGCAGAAAATATATGTATAGCGGGGATCACGTCAAGACGCTATAACGTGGTAGTTGTCAAAGGTTAAAGAGGACTCAGAACCCCCTAAAACACGTCTGTGGCTCCACCTCCACCAGTACTACACCTTCACAGGACATATGTCAGTATTCGAGCCTAAAGTAGTCCTCAACCTCCTCAAAAACTTGGCAGCCATCTCGCCTATTGATAAAAATGCCTTTGAGAAAAGCTGGACTGTAAACGTAAGTTTTTCTTTTGGCCGTCAGAGACGTCGTCATCAACTCGTCGAATGACGGATTAAACACAGGTTGAAAAACGAGTCAGCATATGGAAAGAGTCCCGTAACCATAAGAACCACCCACGTCCAGAGTTTCAGTTGAGGTGGGAGGCCGAGGTCGTCGAATATGTGCAGTGCCTATGGGAGAAGAGTCGACCTCGATCAAAGAAAATCGAGCCTACATATAAGTTAGGCCTCAATATCCCATTGCTCGGGCCTCAATTCGTGCCCCCATCTTACATACATATTCAAAAGCGCTCGGGACTCGGACATCAAGACATTGAGCCAGTAACACAGTACATCAAACCCTTCAATGTCATTCACCCATTTTACTACCCACAGCTTGCCACCTGTCCTCGATGCGGCTCTGACAAGGAGACCACCTGGGAAGGGTGGACAAGCACGGGGCCACGCGAACTCCATGGTCTTATCTGTGAAGAGACAGCACTCGGCGCCCAACTTTGATGCAATACATGCAAGGAATCAACAAAGATGAAGAAGGCAACCGACAAGAACATACCTGGAGGTGTCGAAGATGTCCGAGCGCACACAAATCAACCAGCCAACTTGGAGGGCTACTGTTTTGCAACGACGAGCGCTGCATACTGGAGTTCATGGGAGCACTGGCGGATTCCTCGTGAGTTTCATGCATTAGATGTCTGGAGCATCCACTCACCAAACGAACAGGCAACATCCCAATCTTTTTCTATCGCTGTGCCCTAACGCATGATCTCTTCGACTTGCTGGTGGAGATGCGCCCATCAACAACCTCTGCAGGGCTGGAAGAAAGAGTCAGACGTGAGTGCATGCAGTCTTTCTTTTTAGAAAGACACTCTTACCATATTCGGTGTGCCGCAAAGAGCTCCACCTGTTGGAACACAAGCGGCGAATGCTTGAATACCTCAAAGTGTTTCAGATACAGCCCACCTGCAATGCAAATAGCAGACTTACCAACTATTTCTCTGGTAGTAAGAGCGCTGTGAAGACACTCCAGGCATTCTCGAGCGCCAGCGACCCGCTTACATATGCTGACAAATCGATTTCGGGTGAGATTATCACAGAAGTCTTCCTAGACTTCTGCACACGCACAAGGCAAAAGGAGAGTGGAGGATACCTGAAGACTTTATCAGGTTAGTTTACAGAAAGACTCGTGTGATCAACGCAGCTTTAATTCTCCAACCTGGCAGCCATATGCGGCTCACTCGACAACACGTTCAAAGCAGCAAGTAAGGCCACACTTACCGACAAGGATCGCCAGAAGTCTAGGGAGCTGAAAGGCGGGATATTGAGTGTTTTGAATGAGGACAATCAGATCATTTCATGGGTAAGTTTTGACAATGACTCACCTAAGCTTTTCACTGACATATTTGTTCCATATGTAGCGCTTTTGCCAGACGCGCACAAACGCAGAGATAACTGAACTCCTTCAAGGTCTTAAGCACCGCCACGACATTCTAAATGTCCCCCAGCCAAAGATGATGGTCGCCGATAATTGCTGTCAAGTCCGAAATGCAGTGACCTCTGCAATGCCGGAGACGGACTCAAAACTCGATGTTTGGCACTTTAGTGCGAGGTGAGTGCCATGCATCTACTTCTACTTAGTTTCTACTTACTCAATATGCACTTGAAGATACATCGCTGTCATGCTCCAATCGAGCAAAAGTCCTTATCGAGGCGCTGTCACTGCTGACATCACAGGCGCCATTCTCAAGACGCATGCCGAGAAAGGTCAGCCTGCGCAATACTGGGACCGAGCAGAGCAGGAACGGAGGCTTATGGTGGTGTTCAGCAAATGGGCAGACAAAGGTGTTTGGTCAGCTGCAGCGCAGAAAGTAAGTTTCATTTTTCGCTAAGTACCACTGTAATCGCTACTGACAATAATGACTCAGGTTCACCAAGAACGGTTAAAACATGTCCCCAAAGGGTGCCTTGAGCGCAGCGTCCAAGGCATCAGAACTGATGGGAGTCGCATTGAGGGATCCCGCAAAGGGTGGAATTCCCTTCAGCGAGCACAGCCAAGCGGTGTGACGATGCTCGCTGCCCTCGGCCATGATTTTGTCCTCCGTCGCAATGTGCGAGTGGCTTTCAGCAGGCCCGAACTCATGCCATTCCTCAAGTTCGCCAACGGTTCACATCACCTCCGACTCTGTGACTACATAGCGAGGCTTCACAACACACTCCAGCAGAATACCACCGACTCTCAGCTGCAGCTTCTTCCTGAGCTTGGTGACATCGACTCAGGCGAGACTTTTGGGTTAGTTATGTCAGATCATGTAGCGACATTCGGTGGTCTTTTGATCAAGGAGGAGAACATTGAGAAGGGCCTACTTGACTCCTTTGATTCGTCTGTTGACCCCACCACAGGTGAGGAAGTCGACCTTGCATTTCTTGCCAGTCGAAATGTCATCATCAACGAGTGGCAAATCGACCCCGCCCTTCTTATGCTCCCAGCTGAAACTTCAAGACCAATGGTAAGTAACAACACTTTCATTCCAACCCCCCCCCCCATATCTCAATTTTTTCGCGCAGAAACCTCCAGCGCCAAAGAGAAAGGCTGTCTGCATCTCGTTGGACTCGGATGATGAAGGGGATGCCAGCGGCGGCACCATCAAAAAACTACGAACCTTAGCATTGCCCAGCACAGAAGTTCCTAGCATGGCCCCAGGTACTGGACGACTTGATGCGTACTTTCCTTCTGTGCAAGACAATCAACGGTGCAGCACACGAAAGCTTCCTCCCGAATTCTCACAGGATCGCCCAGTGCTGACCAGCGCTGCTACAGAGGTACGTCGAATCAGCTCCCGATCAACAATACACACGAAAGCTTCCTCCCAAATTCTCGCAGGATTGCCCAGTGGTTGCCAGCACTGCTATCACTCCCGATCAACGTTACACGCGAAAGTTCCCTCCCGAATTCTCGCAGGATCGCTCAGTGCTTGCCAGCACTACCACAGAGGTACGTCGAATCAGCTCCCGATCAATGTTACACCACGAAAGCTTCCTCCCCAAATTCTTGTAGGATTGCCCAGTGGTTTCCAGCGCTGCATACACTCCCGATCAACGATACACTCCCGATCAACGATACACTCCCGATCAACAATACACTGATCGCCCAGTGCTGTCCAGCACTACCACAGAGGTATGTTGAATCACTCCCGAAAGCTTCCTCCCGAATTCTTGCAGGATCGCCCAGTGGTTGCCAGCGCTGCTATCACTCCCGATCAATGATACACTGATCGCCCAGTGCTTGCCAGCGCTGCCACAGAGGTATGTCAAATCACTCCCAATCAACGTTACACGCGGAAGCTTCCTCCCGAATTCTTCACAGGATTGCCCAGTGCTTGGCAGCACTGGCATCAATAACTCGATGGCTATCGCGGCAGGCCAGACCCGGTCTCAGCGCCTGTTCTCCATTTCCACAGGTATTGATCCTCGCTCGCTCACCTTCCAAAATTCAGACGAGTTCTACTTATTTATGGAAATGCGGGCTGAGTTCAAATGGCTGTCATATCAAATGACTTCGAAGCGCTGGATGCTGGCGACAGAAGAGTACAACCGCCGTCTCATCAAGAAAAAGGGCCAGTCAGTCGTCCAGAAGAACCCACAAGCCCTCCTACGTGCGCTGGGTGACATCGAGCCGAAGCTGATGAGCAAAATCACCAAGAATGACTATACCTGTGAGTCCATTTGCAAACACCCATCTCTCAACTGCTTTTCTTACATTGGGCAAACAGCATGCAAAAACAGCGAGTCATTTTGGCGCCATCATTGTTCCGTCGTCCCACTTGTGAAGGAAGAACCAGGCAGAAAGGTCAGTCACTTGTGTCTGGTCATTTGCACATTGTTCGCGCTGACCCATCAACCATTTTTTTATTTCCAAGGCTCGAAAGGCACAGACATGCTCCCACTGTCAAACAATTATGTATCCAGGACCCGAGAACTCGCCCCTCAACCACAAGAAGGGGTATTGCACAGATGGTGTCAAACAGTCCTCCAAGGCTGCCAGCGAGGAACTGCCTCCCTGGCCTCAGCCACGAGGAATCTTCTCTGAGGGTCGAACATTCCACCCTCATGTGTTCCTGTCGACGGTCCAGCGCGTCTACGAGCACGTTTTCATGCAGGGACCAGGAGAGACAGACCTGCTCGAGACTGAAGCATTCTCGAAGCTGCTGATTTCGCGCACCGAGGTTCACGAGTCGGATAACATGGTGCTTTTTCGACTGTTCAAGGGTTTTGTCACTGACCCAACCACTCCCCGCGACCGGATTGTCTCTCGCGATGGTGAGGAGTGGCTGAGGATTAACTACCTGCAGCAGTAATGTTTTTTTTTTGGTGAGTTGTGCACAGATCTCTTGTCTCTCACCGGTTACCTATTTTGACTGGCTCCCCTCCCAGCTCCCCCAATTCTTGCACTAACGAATTCCAAACGATTCCCCCCTCCGTTTAATTACCCGGTTCTTCATTTGTCCCATTCGTTCGATCCGTTCGAATCCCATTCAATTTGTTCTTGATCCGTTTGTTCTGTTTGTCCGTTTGTTCCGTCCATCGTTGCGTTTGTCCAACACACAATGCCATTGTGGTCTTGTTTGTTCGTCGTCTCGTTTGTTTCGTCGACTCACATGTTCCCTATCCGTGCAGCAGGCCCTTCCAAAACTTAAGATATTGGCAAGATAGGTTTAAGGAGAACAAGATCAACGATATATTCCGCCGAAGGACAAGATCGTAGGAGAACAGGATCAATGATATTATTCTGCTGAAGACAAGATCATAGAGAACAAGATCAATGATTCCTGTTCGGAATGGGAACAGACACGGGGGCGACGCACGCTGCTTTGAGCTTTGAGCGCGTCTTACAATGTCGCCCCCCCGCGCCATGTTCTGACTGAGACTGTAAGTGCGGCAAATGCCGGCGTCACGTGACCTTCGACCTCACGTGCATTTCAAACGGTCCAAACGGTCGTTCGGTCTTTGAAAAAACGGTCGACCGTTTGCGTGAGAACCCTTGCCATGTCGAAGCTGCCCTCGACTTAAGTTAGGCCAATCCGTGGGAAGTATTGCATTCATTTCTCGCAGATCGTCTTGTAGATCTGCCTTCGAACTCACGTGCGAGCGCTTAAGGCGCGCAGCGCCAACACTTGGTGTAGCAAGTTATCTACAAGTAGTCTTGCACGTCCCAAACCTCACTGAACCTTGTCAGTCACGTTCATAACCATCAGCAGGCCTAACCCTTAGCATTACTGATTTCCCTGACTTTTTCCATAGAGTATATCATATGTAGTATGTTCGTGAATTATTCCAATCATCGCTTAAACACTTGGTGAAGCAAGTTATCTACAAGCAGTCTTAAAGCACATCCCAAACCTCAGCGAGACTCCTAAACCTTGTCATTTCTAACCCTCAGCAGACCCGGTCCTTATCTCAACCTCGTTAAGTAGAAATGTATAATCGATTGATTCCATTTTTGAGCGAGAGATGATTGGATTAATTCACGAACATAGTACTACATATGATATACTATATCGAAAAAGTCAGGGAAATCAGTCATGCTAAGGGTTAGGCCTGCTGATGGTTAGGAACGTGAATGACAAGGTTTGGTGGGGTTTGGGACGTGCAAGACTAAGTACTTGTAGATAACTTGCTATGGCGCTGCGCGCCGTAAGGGTTAGGTACAAGTCCCATTTAGGACAGGTTTGGCGACGTTTAGTGGTGCTCGGTTTGAACTCGAACTTTTAGAATTGAGCAGCCTTTAGCTAATAGGCCTTATGCCCTAGGTGACCTAAGTTAATTTTACCACTAATATTCTGAACTCTAGCACACATTCCTTCGTCACGGCTTGCATTCCTTCCATTCCGAAGCCCTTGGCCGTCGGTACTTTTCGTCTCGGCGCTATAAAGCAACTAAATTTTGTCGCTGTTTGCCAGGCCGCATTCCTTTTTACATATTCCATTATGCCATTACCATCATGGACTGTGTGCCTTTTATTACCGTTGTGGGGCCGTTTGCCTGTCGTGGGCTGCGTGCCTGTTATCACCATTGTGAGCTGCACGCTCGGCTCCACCGTGTTTAACAGCGTATTCATTTCCCCAGCTATCGCGAGCTGTGCTCCTTTTTGATAGCCATAATCCACAAAGTGCCCTGCCTCACATCTGGAATACTCAACCAGCGCGTTCGTTGTACCGATGGCTATTTTACCTCCTTTGTTCCCCGCCTCCGTCTCCCTTGCTATCCTGCACTACTGCTCACACAGGCAGTCTCACACCCGAATGTCTAGTCAATGATTATGTAGATCACATAGCCTCTTCGGCGCAACATAGTGGCGGGGTTCTTCCCTCTGTACCATGGGTCTTCGGAGACGTAACCCACAAAAGAGAGGAAAGGAAGAGATACTAGTAGACTGCGACCCCCCCACCCAATTTACCATATCCAACGCCTTAGGACGGCACCTTCATCCCCGGACCATTGCATAGCCTTGATGAACAGAGTACATAGCTGATTTCATGACATAAGTAGTATGATACTGCATATGCAAATGTAGTGTCCAACATCATGCATCAAGCATGGCCCCAACGGACAATAAAGAAAGGGAAAAATAGGCAATGTCCCCACAGGCTGCTAATACGGTGATAGAATTAAGATTGTTGTCACGATTGGCGCCGGCGTGGCATGTGCGTGTAGTGGGCTCGCGGGTCATATTTTGGTGGGCAAATAAACCAATCATAATATTCGCACAATCGCCGAATTCGCGGTAAAAGATAACAACTTCATGGGTAATAATACACAAGGCGGCACGCGGCAGAGCCCGCTACGGTCGCTTTTTTCGAGTCGTAACGAGAGTCGATTGCAAGCGTTACTGGTACAGATACAAATATCATACAGGTCAACCCAGACGAGTCGCGAGAATGGTGAAAAGGTACAAGTATCTTACAGATCAACCTAGATGAGACGCGAGATGGAGGTGAGTGCTACAAATACAAGTGAACTTTGTCAGGCGGGTCGCAAAACGGAGGAAGCGGTCAGTCCATCTTTTCCTTTCCCTCCTTTGTGCCTCTGTCCATTCATGTGCTTGTTTTTTTTTGGCGGGGCTGATGGCGACGTCGAATGTAGAGAATCCCGCGATAGCTGAGTCGTCTTTCGACATGTCAACAGAGGTTGTGGAGAGGATGGGGATAAAACATTCTTCCACAGGTTCATCACATGGATGCAAAACCTTTATGGCTTGCACGCCGAGTTGGAAAGTCTGGAAAGGGTCTAAACAGTGTCACATGACCGAACGGGATGAAGATAAACAACCCGCTTGGGTAGCTAAACATGATTCCGTTTGGGTAACAGGCGAAGAAGAGGACAGATTGTCTAGAAAAGATCATTCGACCATATGAAAATGATTCGGATGAACACACTTACCTCCAGGCTGACAATTCCAAGTATGACCAGCAGAAAGCTGCGCCAGAACCATCTCCGAAGGCCGAAGAAATCGAGACCCATCGAATCTCCCATTCACGAACGCGAGCCAATCACGGCCAAGTCCGATGTCGCACCCATTCCAATATAAGGTATGTCAAGAATTACACCAACCGTCGACAGTAGGAACGCGCGCCAGACTAAAAGTCGACTCTACAGCCACCTCATGAGGCACATTGCACTTAAGCAGAAAGGACAACGGCACGGTCGAATCAAGATTCGCATCATCGACACGAATAAAAGTAGGAACATCAGCGAAAGACCCAAGGACTTCGTGACAAATAGAAGACATAGTCGATGGCTACTTAGTACTAAGGAAGATCGATATACGGAGCGAAATGTCTGCCGAGAATTATACCAACCGTCGACAGTAGGAACGCGCACCGGACCAGAACTCAACTCCACAGCCACGCCATTGTAATTGAAAATAGAACGCGGCACATTGCAACTGTGCAGAAAAGACAATGACACAGTGGAGTCAAGACTTGCACCGTTGACACAGATAAGAGCAGGAACATCAGCAAAGGATCCGAGGATTTCGTGACAGATAGAAGACATAGTAGTCGACAACTAAGAAATACCGATATACACAGACTTAGAAATAATGTCACATGACCATGCGAACAAAACACCTTTTAGCACTGGAATGCATTTTTCTGCCAAAAGTTGAACGATGAGGTTTTTTCGAGCATGACACACCAAAACCCACTACTGCTGTAGCGGGAATTATAATCTACTAGTCATGAAGCATCGAGCGGGTAAGCCGGGTAAGCCTAATGAACTTCTTGAGATCGGTCAAGAATTATGATGACTTCGAGAATATTGTAACCTTAGTACGTATACCTGATAGCCAGGGTCCGACTCCGCGATTATGACAATTTCTTCTTTCCATTTTATGCTCCTTCTAGCTTTCCAGGGTACCACATAGCATTCTCCTAGAATCAAACGTTCCCTCCCTCCCTTGAATATTTTCCTGCGAGGAGGTGCTCCTTGTGTCTCATGCTTCGAGCTTCACCTCTGCCAGCCTAGGTTCTAGGTATCCTCATGGGTCCTTCTGTTACTAGCGCTCATTTCCTGTTCATCTCCCTTATCGAACCATGTGGGCTGCTTTAATGGAACTCTTAGACGTCTTTGAGGGCAACACTGCCTACATATTCAGTGAATTACTCGTCCCATCGCCTCGTTATTCCCGTCTCGAACGTTAACTCTCCCAGTCGATCGATCGAGCAGAGGCCCACCTGTGTTTCATATTGTCCCAAGCGGCGACATCACGACATCTCCCTCATGCCCCGCGACTCATCCTGCCAGTGCACTAAACGTGTTATTTATCACCCGCCGCGTGTGCGACCATCCTGGCCTGTTATTCGGCACGTCCACTCTTCTTTTTCTTACATTGTCTGTACTGATGATGTCAGGCACGATTCTGTTCTATTACTCATGACCATAAAGTCCACGTTGTGGTTGTGGGACTTGTGGAGTTGTTGGCACATGACACGAGGCTTTTGTGTTGTTGCCAGTGTGAAGAATTTCTCGTCGTGGGTAGGAGCTGCCTTCTGCGTCATTCACTGTGGCTCACCGTGATTTTGTTGGCTCTCCAAATTAATCTTACATCAGTGGCCTTTGTATCCCAAACTCACGTGTTATCCTCCATCTCTATTGTATTAGCCCATCCCTATATACTTTCTGCTACTCGTTGAAGCTGTGTGTTGCTGTACTCTCCTTCCTGCAATGTTTATTCCCCCCCCCCTCCTTCAGTGTGTTGGTGGTTAGGAGGTCTGAGGACACACAGAGTGGATGCTGGCTCTGTACACGTCCTGTTCTTTATCGCCCTCATGTGCAAGCGTGAAGTCTATCTGTGCCAGCACGTGTTGGAGGTGTTGCTGGTATACGTTCAGTGGAACGGTGTATCTCCCGAAATTATAAGCAACGATGGACACCATGACTGCGTAGCGACGTCGAAGTGCTGCAACGACATCAGCGCCATACAGGTGGACGGACTCCACAGTAAGATACATGGCTCTGAACTTAAGACAATCTAGAGGTAGATGAACACCAAGACATTGTGGAATTACATCGTCGGACAAACGTGAACATTCAAGGTGTGCTGCATCAAAATGACGCAGAATGACATCCATGCTAGGATCCTTCAGGCACGTCTGTGATCGATCACATGCTGTATCACGAGTCAAGCACGAAGAGCAATAGCGGGCAATGCAGACACAGCCTTGTGATAGTCGTCATCGGGGTACAAGAACCAGGGGGGATCATGAGCGAGGGAAGAATGCATGCATGCCTGCATGGAGACGTTACTCTGACATGTCTCATAGTGTTTTAAGATGCTACAATGAAGGTAAGTCGCGGATTCAAAGCGGGCTGGAGCCAAGGGCATAATGGTACCATAATAAAACAATGGATAGGACGATATATCATGAACAAGGTTATGAGGTGGACAATCATTGACATCAAGGACACGAGAATTCGTGGAAGGACGTTTGCACAAAGACACCAGCATACTCGAGAGAATGCACAACACCTGCCAGACACATTCAGCAAGAGACAGAGCGAGTGAAGGAACAAACTCAACACATAGCGAGAACGCGGGTGTAGATAGCGCTTTGGTGGTATTGGCGGTGCGCATGAAGCCATAGTATTACAGGAAGAAGATAAAGGTACAAGGCGCCTGCAGGAGCAAGGCCGTGCACACGAGGAGATCAGGACCTATCAGGACAATAATGGAAGTCAGCTGCGGGTGAGGGCAAAGATTCGCATATGTACTAGTATGATCACGAGAAAGAGGACGGACACGTTGACATTCAATGCATTCGGCCTTGTCCGTTCGTTGATCGCTTCTTCGCGTATAAAAATGTTTTATCCAACCCCACATGACTCAATATTCTAGCACTCAACTAACACCCATATGTATATATGTTACAGTATGTATCACCTTTGTTGTGACGTTTGAGGACACAAGCTCAGGTAAGTCCCACTAGCAATAATTTGTACGGCTTTTACTGTCGGTCTGCTCCACAAAAGATGATACGCACTGAAAAAAAAAAGATGCCATGCACTACGCTCCAAGTTACTATACTAGAGCGGCGGCCTAGAAAACGGTTAACTGAATAAATCAAACAACATGCAATGACGCGGACATGCGGCGCCATGCGCTACCCGTGAGAGAGGCGGGCGCCCCGCGTGTGGGGGCTCTGTTTTATTTAAATTTATGTCTACAATTTAATTTTCAATTACATAAATATCTCGCCTTAGTAGGGTCAACTTGGTTGATTTATTTGGAAATTCATCTGTCCTTCGCAAGGTCGAACGTTTCTAAGTAAACCCCCATCTCTCCATCACATTTATGCTGATTGTTGGCAATATAAAGTTCACCAGTTCACCATGATGCGTAGGCTGTACGGACAGCTTCAAAGCATACGCAGGACCAAAGCAGGACCCAAATAAATTACAACAAGATGCACATACGCAGTATGGATAGAGGGATGGCAAGCAGGATATGTCAGGAGAAGGCACATGAAAACGACAACAGGACGGTGGCTAGCACACGGAAAGTATAGTAGTACATCGTGGTTATGAATGCGTAAGATTATATGGGTTGGAACGCCCTTCAGGAGTGTCTACGGCGACACTTGTATTCGTAATGTATTTCCCCGATGTGTCGGCGGATTGTATCTTTCCTGAAGGTTTTTGCGGGCGAACAAATGTGGCATTGCACCCGACTAGCGGATGGCTGCTTCTTAGGGAGATGTTGTAATGATATATGCGCCAGGATGCTCTTGGTAGTATCTGCCGAAATGCCGCACTGGCCTTGATGGTCAGTCCACAAGCATGGAATCTGTGTGGGAAAACCGTCGTTTGAAGGTTGTCCAGCAGCACTATCAATGAACGAGTTGATGTTCCGAATAATAGGGATCATGAGGGATTCGTACCTATGAATGTTGGGCTGATCAATCTGTTGATCAAGGTGCGGGGACGGTGACGAGACATCATTTGGAAGTGGACCTGAATCATTACTTTGGGGTGGGACCGCGTCATATAGACCAACAGGAGCGAGTACTTGGTCATTGCTCATCGAGTGCATGCCATACACTGGAGCAGAAGGTAGGTAGTAGTTCTGCTGAGTCGACTGATCCTACAGCAAACTGTCAGGGCACTACTATCTACGCACAGAGAGAAAACGTACATCATCGGCGGTCGCTTGTAGCTGCCCTGCCTGGACATGATTGTACAGTTCAAAATTCTGCCTGTATAATGGATCAGCACCAAGAGGAAGCGTAGTATCAGTGCAGACGCACCACCAGTAAGGGTAGGGCATTCTGAAATACACTGTGGATAGAAATGTTCTGGACACCTATATAAGCCGAACGAAAGGTTGCGTAGCACCATGTAGGCCAACAGCCAAAGGGTGTTCGCAGGCCAGGAACCGGTGGCCTATATGGGCCAGCTAGAACAAATCGAGCCATCCACCAGGTATTTGAAAAGATCTGTCGGGATGAACAAAGCGGATTGCAAAAGGCAGAGGCCAAAGGCCAGAGGTTACCAGTCGATGAGGTAGATCAGGCCAACGAGCCTGCCAAGGTCAGATCCATTTCAATGGTGACTTGTTAGACATATCCGAGATTGGGCCACATCTGTGACTCGGAGACTCCTTCCATCCGCAGATGAGGTTTTCGGTGGTGAAACCCATAGACGACCTCATAACGCGGACACAATTATACGAAATTTTGTTGCTGTACGCTGAACCTTCGTGAATAAAGTTGGAGTGAGTTTGGCTTTTCGGGCAATGGAAATGGCCTCGCTATGTCAGCACTTCCACACGGTTGTCAGGCTGGAATACGAAATCCTGGCCTGCTACCAAGAAATATCCAATCCAGCTTGGACGTGGGGTCAGTAGCCGGCGGGATCGGTGGCAGCCAACTTAGACACGTTTGATGGGAATGAAGTGGGAGGATAAGAGGCTATGATATAATAGATGAATAAAGAAACTTTCTCGAAAAGGCGATTTGACATAGTCTGCACCTGCCACCTTCCTAGAACGCAGCGAGATGAACCGTGCCAGGTGACATATCATTTTGCAGGTGGCAACGTCGAAAACCCGAAACGAAGGCCACAAAATCAGGCACCCGGGCCAACTACACCTCAGCAGGAGTCGATAGTCAGGCCTTCACTCCGCCTACGAACAGGTAAGAGGCACCGAAGGCCAATCTGATTGTTGAATCTCCTTGACACCTACATGGGTTGGCCTGAGTTCTCATCCTATCAGTCGCAAGGCCATCGGCACTTGCTATTCAACGATGCTTCGATAGCGGCGTTATCAAAGCGTGATATCCAGGCGGACATATATAACACACCTTTAAGTTTCTACATTTCTTTCCTTCTGGCGTGCAAAGTAAATAGACGACGAGGTGGGGGCTCGGGGAACCGTAGTTTTGACCGAACTTTACTTATATTATTCCCAGCACTGCCCTATCTTGCTGTTTCCCCTAGATGCCCAGTTAATTTGGTAGTCCGTGTCAATAAATATATATATACTATACATAATTACAAGAGCATACCGCCGCTGTCCTAAATCCAACAGCCAAAAAAACAGGCCACTTGGGGGCCGGTGTCAATGGTCACAAGTTTTCTGAAACAGAAGGGGGAATGAAGTTAGGTTCTGTCGCGGCCCTGGGTGATAGGTAAGTACGGTAAGTACTCACACATGGTCATGTTGCCAGTCGCGCTTGATGATCCGGGCCGGCATAGTAAACACACGCGATTATTCTTAGTAGTCGGTTAAGCGCCCGCAGAAAGGGAGAACACATCCAAAACACAGTGGCAAAAGGATGGTAGCCTGCCGGAATAACCTGGCGCTGATACTGAGCATTCTGCACTGGACTCTGAAAAAAATAGATGTCGTGCACTCATGATCATACGCTACATCATCCGGAGTTTGTATTATTATCAGTCTGCCACACTACCGTGGGCGATGAGAGAAGTCCCGGCGAGTTGATTCGTCTTGCTGCAGCTATGCAATTCTTCGGATTTCTTGGTGTCATTGGTTCCATCATGCGGTCTGTTGATGACGGGGTTGCCCAACAGATCGTGTCTGCTTTTTGCGGCAACCTGGTTGATGGTCAGGAAGATTGGACTACACGTATGCTGCGGTAACGTTGCACAAGGCTGTGAAATCGTTGTGCAAGAAGATTCCGTTGGAACAGCAGATTGATTTTTATTACATATGTTCCCTAGGGAGGTTCGGACAACTTGGTCTAAATGCCACAAAAGCATGCCATTTTTTCTGCACGCACCTGTGCTTTGATTACTTGAGCGACTTGTCAGATCTTAGAGCTTATCAACATTTTTGTCGTTGAAATAGATCGCTGAACGTTATGTAACGATGACATATGCGGCTGCATGCACACTTTCTTTTGGAAATGCCGCCGGAACCGGAACCAACATTTTTGCATTTTCGAATTCACTAGTGAGAGTCGCTGTCCGCGTCAGATCTTCAGACTTCTACCTCCTAGTCCAGCGACCACATTGTATGCAGCAAGCTGCACCATCCTGCTCGAAATGGCGGACTCGCAAGTCGTTTGCGGCATACTTGATGAGATGACTAGTAGTATGGCATCAGTGCGAGAGTCGATGCAATCCCTCAAACAAAAGTAAAAGTTTGGGTCCATAACAGTGCAGCTCTTATTGACATTTCTCCAGGTTAAAAACTGCAGATGATATGGATATGAAGGACGGAATCTCTTTGCTTTCACTCAAACACCACCTGCTTCTGTCGTACTTGCAGTCACTTGTCCTGCTCTCTGCACGCCGAGCAACTGGAGACTCGTTAACAGAGAGAACATCAGCCAGTTCCCCTTTCAGTACAGTCGATCGAGAGGCGCGGGGCTCTGGCGCTGGTGATCTGGTTGACTCTATGATAGAGGGTCGCGTTGTACTTGAAAAAATAAAAGTCCTGGAAAGCAGGATGCGATACCAGATCGAGAAGCTGGTCAGAGTTGCTGAAGAAGTACCTTCTGGCAAAGATGTGGTCGAAGGTGTGTTTTTTTTACGCTGTAATAGCAACTCCTTGCCGATATGCCCTCTCAGATCCCCTCGCCTTCCGTCCAAATCCCCAAAATCTTGTCGACAACGAGCAGCACTCCAACGAAGACCAAGACGGCCGTTCAGATGTCGAAGACATATACCGCCCTCCTAAGCTCGCACCCATGCCCTACACGGAAGCCGCAGCCGATAAGCGTTCTAAACGACAGCCCGTTCCCAAGGCACTTTCTACCCTCCTCCACCAAGACCCCTCACGCCCGCACGTCGAGGGTACGTCCGGCCTTGGCTCGATGCCCTCCCTCGCATCCGACCGCGCCCGCGAGATCCAACGTATAAAAGACTTCGAGGAGGAGAACTTCACGCGACTAGTCATGAAGAAGAAAGATGCGCGTAGGCGACGAAAAGATGAAGAGGATTTGGCACTCGGAGGTACGGGCGCTGGAAAGGGTAGGAAGAGAGGCCGGGGCCTGGAGGATGAGTTTGCGGATGTGCTACACTCAGTTGGGCGCACGAAGACGGGGGTGCTCGGCGATGGATATGAAGAGCTGAGGCAAAGAGGTAAGAAAGCTGATGCACTTTCGAGATCGCGAACGACACAGTGGAAGGGGGATCTTGAGGGCGCAGACGATGTCGGGCCGCGACTGCAGAAAAAGACAAGGTTTGAAAAAGCAAAGACGACTCTACACAAGAAAATGAAGGCGAGAAAGAGATAGTTTTGTCCTTTCGAAGTTCCTGTTATGTTTTTCCGTACCAACGCAACGACCTGGTCATTTCGAATCCTCTCAATCGTTCCCCCCACCATCAACAAAGTATGTGTCACTGTGACCCAAGGCATAAATTCCTCGATGGTGGGTCCTAGATAAACTAGTCGACCATAGTCCGGGGGCATATCCAGTTTGTTACATCTCGTCGGCGCAGCGTATAAATTAAAACTATGCGTAGTTGCTAGCTGAGCGTTTCCAGTTTCCACTAGGTCACGTGCCACGTGGTAGGCGCGACCAAGCGCGTCGCGTCTTGCTTTCAATTCGTCCTATGGCTTCAGTGTCACGAAAGCGCGTTGCCGCCAGTTCTGTGGACTCGAGCTCTACCAAAAGACGGAAGATCCAGGCTGAAAGGTACACCATTTTGCAAGTACTTTTCAATAAAGTCTAGTTAACTTGCTTGTAGTTCAACGGTCACTGTCACAACAGGCGTAGAAGAATCATGTCAGGGCAGTGTACTTGACATTAAAGCTGTCATAGAGAACTTAGAGCGTGAGACTATGGGAGGTTCCTGGAGGGCTGCATTAGACAAGGAATTCACGAAGCCGTATTTCCAAAAGGTGTGTCGTGTGTCCTTAGTGCTCACTCCCTCTGGTATTCTCTCCTCTGAGCACTACATTTGCTTCAGCTCAAAGAATTCCTCATTGCGGAGCATCATGCGCATACCGTATACCCAAAGCGTAAGATACTCATGTCGTTTATCGATAAGACGTTACAAAACCCTCTGTAGTGAACGATGTTTACTCTTGGTCACGATTGACACCACTTGGCTCTGTGAAAGCCGTTATACTAGGCCAGGTGCGCGTTGCATAATTCTATACGTGTTCCATCACTTACCATGGTACTCGACAAGGATCCATATCATAATGTAGGACAAGCGCATGGTACGTATGTCCAGTTCACTAAGAATATGTTTAATACAATATCTTAGGACTCTCTTTCTCCGTCCTCCCTCCAACTAAGCTCCCTGGCTCCCTGAGGAATATCTATAAACAACTTTCAAGTGACATCCCCACTTTCAAAGTCCCCACGTCTGGGTTTGTCGCATCTCTAGCTCCTCCAAGCTTGCAATTCGCTTACTCTTTACACAGGGATCTGACGCCCATGGCAAAGGCTGGAGTTCTCTGGTTGAACACCTGCCTGACCGTACGGGCGCATAATGCCAACTCGCATTCAAAAAAAGGTTGGGAGACCTTCACCGACGCTGTTATCCGAGCGGTGCTCGACCGTCCGGACGGAAGAGGGGTTGTCTTCTTTGCCTGGGGTTTGCCTGCCCAAAAACTATACGACAGACTTGGGATTGACGAGGTGTGTGCCAACCATCAGCTGTTTTGTTTTGGGGCAACTGACTCAGGTCGAGAAGGAAAAGCATCTGGTGTTAAGGTACGCTTTGACTCACTTTGTTGATGGACACGCCGATAATTGTGTCAGATCTCCACATCCCTCTCCTCTTTCAGCCCATCGGGGCTTCCTTGGAAACGCTCACTTCAAGAAAGCCAATGAATGGCTGCAGAAGACACGCGGAGAAGAGATTGATTGGACGGCTCTCAGTTCTGTTCCACCTTAGGCGCAGGTCGCCACATCTTAACGACATGAATATCAGTATCTTACCTACAGGAAAGCGAATGCAATTGCTACACAAAATAGAATCATTGTTTAAATTACATGCATGTAACAGATCTTATCGATGCCTCTGATTGTTCCAAATCTGGTTTTGTCCGCCGACTCCGTACTGCCCCATGTCAGGAGGGGCAAAGAATGCTGGATTAGATATGGGGAAGTTCACAGCATTGAACGGCGATTGCGCAAAATTTTGATTTATCATCGGGAACTGTGCAATAGGCGAGGCCTGCACAGCAGGAACGGGCGAGCGGGTCGTATTTGGTTGTGCGCCTGGTTGGGGTGGCGGTTTCCAGTTCTGACATGGCCAATCAGCATTTGTGCGGAAAAGATAAGAATAGCAACAAACACTTACATATTGCTTCCCTTCACGATACAACTCGTCCAGCTTTTCATCAAAGACACCGCGCTCTTCGAAATCATGATACGCCTTATACAACCTGAGCGCGCTTCGAGCGTCCTCGATCGAATCGTGCGTGTCGGTTTGAATATGCTCATGCAGGACGAACCAGGACAGGAAACGGAGTGACAGTCGTCGCTGGCGGGTATGCAGGAAGTACAAGTCAACTGTGTCTATGACTTGCTCTGGGGGTACGAATATATCTGACCATGACGACAGTCAGTGAGTGAGTGGTCCTCGTTTAAATACAGGAACATACTGATTATGCGGAAGTCTTTCGAGAGTCCGTGCCCAATGAATATACATCCCCGGTCAACGAGCACCCTGAGCTTTTTGTACACAAGTTTCAAGGGTGTCAATGTGTACCGCGACAAATGCGGATCAAGGTCACCGACTGTCACACTTTCAGCCAAGAAAAGAAATACTGGACCACACTTACATTTGATACCAGAAAACTCAGTCAGATAATCAACAATGACCTCGCTTGTATGGATATGATCGTCAATGAACGGGACACCTTCTTTCGGACCATCACCCCTAAGAACGGACACGCGAGCAAGACTGAGCCGTGCAGGGCGGATGACACGGTTGGTACCATCCGAACGGTACTCTGTTTCTTCCTGACAAGTGAGGATATATGAAGACAGTCCAACGGAAATTGTACACAAAGTATACCTGCTGCATGGAAACAAACTCAGCATCAATTGCGACAAGTGTTCCAGGTTTAGGGAGTTCTTCGAAGCGGAGGCACTCGTGCTGGACGATATTCTCGTCGCGGTTCCTATGCGCTAAAGATAAAAAGAGTGAAGCGGCTATGGGAAGAATGTACTGACACAGAGATAGAGGTATCTAGGCTCAATATCGCCGGGTCCAATTGGTCTGGAAGTCCGCTGTAGTCGAGCTGTTCTCGGATATCGACGCGCTCAAAATATAAGATAGCTGGGACCTGCTTCATCTTAAGTACATTGGTGCACAGAAGAGACATCACAACTGACCTTCCACGTGCTTGGGAAGCTCAACGCCTCTTCTTCGGATATATTACGCACAACGAAATCGTTGAAAAGAAACCAGGCGCTCTTGAGATTTGGGCGGCCTTCCGCTTCAGGAACTGCGTCATTGTCAGTGGGGATTGCGTTGGTAACAGCTAGAATAAAAAGCTCACCCTTGACAATCGCAACGAGATGCGAGTGTCTTTCTTTCGTCATAATTTGCACTACCATGGCCTATACGAACCTAAAATGAGCGCAACAGCAGCAAGTAAGAAGATGAGCTCACTCTCAGTTCATACACAACCCCCATTGCCTCATCCACGCCATCAACCTCGCCTCTCACCTCCACCGATGGGCTCAAAAATCTCGACTGTCGGTTGTCTAACCATAGCTTCAGATTATCTTCATTGTAGACACTTGCATTGACCGCAAGCACAGGTGGAAGCTCTGAAGAAGGTATTGAGCGTCGGGAGCTGAAGGCGCCAAATTGCTTGCACGTCTGACATGTTGCCTTGTATGTCATCTGACGAATCAGGGAAGCGCGAAGAATACTGGTGAAATCTGTTGCAGGAGGGGGATCTGAAGGTGTGAGCTGACCACCCCCGTCAGTATCATAAGCTAGTATGCGTATGAAGTGTCCTCACTCTGCGTGGGTAAACCATATCAACGACATGTGTCATGTTCTCCTTCTCCCTCACAGCCTTGCAGCTCATACATATGATGACGTTCTTCGCATCTATACCGAGGAGCTGTGTGATAGGCGCAGCCGCAGGTGAATGCGTGTCCTCCTGGAATGACTGGTGTATGAGATATGGATTGTGTGGGAAGGAGTTCCCTTCAAGCGAAAGATGATCGACGAGGAAACGATGGAATGATTGAATCATATGAGCATAGTCGACTTCAGTGGGCTCGCGCCCGTAATCGATCAACTCGATCTGGTTTTGACCTTGAGCTAGCACACCAACGGTCTTGCAGAAGTTCCCTCCTTGGCAGTTTGTGCCGCCCGCATCCTCGAGCATACGTGCCACAAAACCGAGCTCGCACAGTAGACAGTGTTCTCTTGGACAATTGGTCGTGATATGCGACTTGGCGAGGCGCCGTATGGGAAACGTGTAGTGCATGACCTGGAGCATTGAATTCGTGTAGGAGTTGAGGATATGTGTCTCAAGACCGCTGTACGGTGTTTTATTGTAGAAGCTGCAGAAACATCAATGAAAGCCGTCAGAAGTGAAGACAGAGAACGCGCACCCGAAATCGAAATCCTCCACGCCGAACTTCGAGTACTCAATTTCCACCTTTCGATAAATTCGGGGTACCTCCTCGACGCTGTCGTCGATGGTTAGTGCTTCCAGCTCGAGCTATATCCTGTCAGTTAGGCATAATCAAACAATCATCACACTCACATCATCTTTTCTGCCCTTTCCACTCCTGAACCGCCCTTGATCTTTGGTAGCAGTCACAGGCACACGATTCCTCCGCCCACGCAGCTCCTTTGGAAGAGCCGCATATGCAATATTGTCGTTCATCTTCATGGTACTTAAGACTTGCGGCGGAATTTTAGGTGGAGGTGGACTCAAAATCCCAGAGCGCGGAAGAAATTGTGGTGTCCAAGAGGAAAGCAGTAGAGTGTTGTAGTGTGGCATGCCAATTGAGTTAAGGGGTCTTTGGTGTGTTGAAGTCAGCAAGAGGTATAAATGGTGGAAGATAACTCACGTCGAATCTGCCCAGTTAATATCAGGGGGTGCTTCTGGAGCATCAGCCCATTCAATGGGTTGGCCTTCAAAACCATTGAAAAGCGGCTCTGCGTCCTCTGCGATGGCTGTCATGAGGTGGATGGCACCTAGCGCGTCTCCAAAAGCGAGGAACGAGCCGTTGGACGACGCAGCTGTTGAACTGATGTAGGATGTGGTATCGAGCTGCAATACATGAGCGATTGAGTCTGGGGAGTATTACTAACATACCTGATAAAACCCGGAGACATTACTGTAATCAGATACATCGACAACGTTCACCAGACCCTGCGCAGAGGTGACTACGAGGCTAGAAGAATGTTTAGGTAGAATATCGATGAAGGCAGGACCGTCCTGGAAGGGGATTGGAGGGAGAGGACGCATCGTACGCAGGTCATATACTTTCACTAGGGGATCAGGAAAATCATGACCACGTCTGCAACGCATCAGTGGTATTTCCATACACAGATCACACGTTGCTAACCTGATACTCCACCCGATTGTGTAGAAATAGTTTCCACTCGTCTGGAGGTCTTGCACGCCACTACTATGTGCCAGCACCGAGTTCTCTCCGTTCTCGCGCAGAAGCGCAGTGCGGGGGTCATATGCACGCACGTACCCATCCGTGGACGCCGCAAGGATCGTAGAATGTGAAAACTGGAGATGCGTCGCAACGGATGATAAGGGAGCAACACGGACGGAGTTGCCTGTGATTGCATTCAAGAGGACAAGTTCAGGTGCAGTTGTTGAAACTGCAAGGACATTGGAAGTATACGTAGTGCTCGAGAATGCTGTTAGAGTAGAGGCTGATCTACAACTTTCATGAAAGGATACACATGCATAGTACTGGGAAATCACGTACTGAAAGAACCACTTGTTCATTCCACCTTTGGACCACGAGCCGACGCCTTCACCTGCAACACCAAGTGCCCTGACATGGTTGTCTCCTGCCACGATCTGCTTGACTGGAAGAGCACCGCCGACGGGAAAAGACACGCCACGGAGGCCCTGTATTGTGTGCAGCGCGACGACCGTAGCCTACAGCTGGTCCCGGACCAGAGCGTGTCAGAGACAGGGTCGAAGCTAAGGGCAGTGACTGGCTGAGCATAATCATGTAGCGTCGCAATCGGGTCTATTATGTGGTATGATGTCGACATCGTGCTGTAGTCATGGACAAAATCGATACCTGTCGCTGTCTAGAATCTAGATCGACGAGCTCGCGCTCGCGGTAACGGAAGCAATAATGCACCAAATAGTTCCCATATCTAATCTCATCCAAGCTTGACCCCTACTAGAACAACTTTCACGACTTCAAACACTTCTTAAGACCCTTTCATGGAGAATCTACAGGGCTTGACACCACAAAACCAAAATGCATCAGCAGAAGATGAGTCGAAGCGGAAGGCAGCTGAAGATGAGATGCGCAGGGATATGATGGCGACCATCCTTGACATTGCTGCCCGAGAGCGATGTGTACGTCCTTCCTTTTTCTGACTCACTGCCCGTACTCAATATCGTCATTTTGTGTTCACTACCCAGTGTCCCGCATTGCCCTTGTGAGCCCGGAGAGATCGCGACAGGTCGAGACCGTCATTATGCGGATGGCTCAGTCAGGACAGCTGCGCGGACGTGTGAGCGAGCAGCAGTTGATCGACCTTCTTGATCAGGTATGTAATCTTTTTCGTGTGAGCGTGTACAGCAGTGCTGAATCTGATATATTCAGATGGAGGACGCACGGTCCAAGACAACTACGAAGACCACTATAGTGGTGAGTATTCGACCACATCACTGACATAATTTTTGAGACGGAATGATTGCTGATCATGATTACCAACTAGTACCAGCGCAGGCGAGATTTTGATGACTGATGATGATTTTTAGATGCTTCATTGATGTACTCGAAGTCGTTACTTTGATATCGTGATATCATATCATTCATTATCATTCACCATACTCCTCAATTGAATGCTAACATGTACCACCCTACCCCTGTTAGTGCCCTGCCCTCACCACCTCGAATATCGCAATACTCGTCGTTAGTCTCTCCTGTCAAGACTTTGTCTCGGCCGTCCGTCGTGCCCACAGGAACGCAAGCTGGACCTTTCTGTTGTCAATAATTATATGGTGATGGGTAGTGAAACGATGATCGTGACACGAAAGCAGTTGCTCAGGAAGGCCGCCGGTACTATGACATATGTTTGAGTCACGCAGCACCGTAGTTTGAATTAAGACAATCAATTAGCAATGCATTGAGGTATAGGCGTAATGTCGGACTCTAACAGCTCTAAGTTCTAACTACCAACTTCTTCCCAAGGGATATAAGCCACTTCGAAAACTTATTGTCCCGCCTTCGCCTTCGCTTTGCCCCTTCTGACGGCTTGTGTGTGCGCAGTCCTATTATCACTCGCCCCTTCTGTAAGCGGTTTGGCAGTTTTTGGAAGCTGCTGCCCGCGTCCCCGCGTCCCCCTCCACGACCCCCTCCTCCCGCATTCCGAACTGGGCCGTCGCCCGCATCATCCAGGCGATCCACCACATTCAGCCCTGGCGTTCCGCGCAGACCCATCAATCCTACCGTGCGCTTCGGGATAGGTGGCGGGATCCATGTTGGCACCGTAATTCTACCCCTTCCGCCTCTTTGCGCTGGAGCACCACCAGAAGTACTAGGTCCACCGCCAACCTCCGTCACACTCGGCCACCCCAAGCACCGCGCCCATACAGCGCCCTGCTGCACCAACTCCGTGGGTGACCATCGCAGTTGCTTCAGCCAGGACTTGTAGAACCCAAGCCAAGCAGAATATGCTTGGCCGATGGAGCGGTCGTCTAGCTTAAACTTCAAATTACCACTATGTTCAAGCTGTGTGTATGGCGTTAACGGAAGCGAGGCGATCTCTGGCAGCCGCAAGAAGAACCCTTCGTCTGGCATGAGCATCAATATGCCTTCGCCGGCAGCCCCTGCGCGCGCGGTTCGGCCGAGGCGGTGAATGTATTGTGCAGGTGAGCTGGGGAGGGAAAGCTGAATGATATATGTTACGCTGTAAGATGATGTCAGTACACCTTGTGATAAAGAGAAAGTAGACTGCAGGGGCAAGAAACGTAATAAAACAGATCAACACAGAGAAAATTGATTGGACGACAGCATGATTGTTGGCCAACGAATGGACTGAGGATACTTTAAGATACTGATATAAGACCGACCTTGGAAAGTCCATCCCCCTCGCAGTCACATCACTTGTAACCAAAACCGCGCCTTCCGGGGCGTCGCGGAACTCCTGTGCGGCGCGTGTGCGTGCAGCCTGTGACATACGGCTGTGGATCTGGTAGATTGGGGGAAGCATAGATTGTGGGCTCGCGGCAGACACTTGTTGCAAAATACTCGCAACGACAGCCGTACCACGTGCCGTTGTACAAAACAACATCGTCTTTGCCTGCGGACCCGCCTGCTTGAGGAGGGAAACAAGTGTCGGAAGGGTGTCTTCAAGGGGCGTGATGAGGTAACTCTGGGGAACTATGTTACATACATGCCACTCTGTTAGTTCATTGATAGCTTATGGAAAAGATGTACACACCGTGTTCATGCGTGTTGATCTCGTCCGCGTGTAGCGTAGATATGAATTTATAATTTGGATCTAAGTAAATCTTTGCGATCTACTCGCCCAAACGATCAGCGTCCATTGTTTCTACACACAAAATCCACCCACTTGCTGGATCGCCTTATCAAAAGTTGCAGAAAATAGCATACATTGTCGCTTTGTTACCCGCCTATCAGGCAAGAATCCTACGATGCGCTCCAAATCCTTGCGAAATCCTTGATCGAGCAGCCTGTCTGCCTCATCTAGAACGAGCACACTTGGGCGGAGGGTGAGCCCTGAAGTCAGATGATCGAGGAGCCGACCGGGGGTGGCAATTAGGATGTCGGTGCGAGCAGTGGGAGAGTTAAGACGGTTTTTTTCTGTGTTTATGCTGCGAGTGTTAATATATGTCACAATATGCGCCAAAGTATGGGAAAGAGTGCGTACTTTGTACCCCCGATAACAGACTGCACGCCGTACGGGTGGTGCGCAAGAAGGGATACTGCTTCTTCCTCGATCTGAAGTGCCAGCTCCCGTGTAGGTGCTAGAACAAGAATCTTGCCCATGTCAGAGGACGTCGATCGGGAGGAGGCAAGTCGTTCGATGGCGGGGAGAAGAAACGCCATAGTTTTGCCTATGTGTAGAGTCAGCCTATGACGGAATGATTTAATCACACTACACACCAGTTCCTGTTTTGGCCTGCACGAGAAGATCAACGCCCGACAACGCATGCTGCAATGTACGATCATTAGCTTAGTAGACTAATTTTCAACAACACCCACCTCAAGTGTTGCGTCTATGGCAGATGCTACCGCGTCAGCTCAGCCGCATTATACAGTGTGCACGAGACTGACCTTGTACGTCTGTTAGAAACCTACGCGATGGCCCGTCAACATGTGGAGAATTGCAAACTATGGGACGTACTCATGTCTGATTCCAGCCTTGGATGGCTGTGAGATGGGCGCATCTACAAACCGTTTCGACGTGAAGTGCTTTTTTTCTGTAGCCATGACTGTAGATTTTGAACTTGTGCTGTGGCTTGGGGTAAGTACGCTATTGAGAGCAGGTATTGGTGAAGGTTGAAAGTGAGCTTGAGTGGCAGCCATTGACGCGTGTCGTGGCAAGTGTGTCCTTTGTGCTTTCAAGCTATTCATCAATCGAATAAAACTATGAACTTGAAGTCTAGCAGACATATAACACAATTTTCTTGTCCTCGAGTTTGATTTCTCGAGTTTCTATGGATCTGCGCACAGTGAAAGCCCTTGGAGCGAACGTCTCAGTTACTTTTCACCTCGTAAATTTGCTTCCGGAATCCACGTCTAGGTTTGTCGAAAATAACGCGTGTCCAAATTCAAACCGCGCGTGTAACTTACTCTAATGTGGCTTACCATTTTAGGCTACCATATGAACTGACGTGCTAGTACTAGTAAAATCGTTTATTTCGCAGAGGTAGGTTCCTTCCATAGCAAATCCATAGGTTCATATCACTAGGGATCATAGCGCGAATCAGATGCTTCCTCCATTCACCTTCCACAGCGACAGTCTGCAGTATCCTCAATGTGTCATTATCAAAGATGATATGACATCATGACAATTCCTAAAGCTTGAAGCCAAGCACCGGTGGCCTGACTCTCCCTCACACCATGGCGTCCTGCGGATGAGCTCCCGACTGGAGAAGATCGGGAGTTGCCTTGTCCATTTGACTATAATCAGTCAGCTAGCCTACAAACGAAATCTTTCCTACTCGTTGCACCGCATTTTCGAGTCAGCTATTGTACTACCGACTTCCAATCGCGTTGAAAATTGGACTGTTCTGCCCTTAGGATCCTTCATGTGAATCATGCTGTAGCTTTCAACGCCGACAACCAGTGATCGAAGAAAGAATAACCTGACACTTATTGAATACATGACCATCACACTCGCAACCTTTCCAATGTATGAATCGGCAGCTGTGGAGCAAATTGCTCGGGCGTTGAAGGTAGTATCACAACGAATATCTTGCCTCACCCTCGACAACTTGTATTTGCCTAATCATGATATCTCCATGAACGAGCCTGTTTCAAATTTGGGGCAGAGAAAGTGATACAGCGCAAACACCCGCGAAATCGAACAACTTTGCCAGACAATTGTTCTTCACCAATAATCCAATCATCTCTTTCGTCATCTTCCACGCATATCGTTAGCTCCAGCAAATTCACTGGAGTTGGATGCGTGCGACAGCGTAGGTCCGTAGCGGATACCTGTAACCCGCGCCCGCGGCATGCAGTGGGACGGTCGTACAGTGATCATTACGAACGGCCACGATTCCTGCATGATGATTATCGTGTACCTCCTCGACGCACCTTTCGGCAATCTGAGTTGTTCCCTGTAGCCCACACTCAAGCTCGTAGCCAAAGGCGATTTCGTCATGCGGACCCCGCTGACTCTACTAAATGACAAGAAAGGTAAAGCAGTAGTTTGTATGCGTGAAACAATTTTTGGTATGAACCCAACGTTGATATCCCGAGTAGACTTATCCCCAGAGACCTGAATGCACCAGGCAGCCTTTCTATCTGCGATTCAAGCAAGAGAGAACATGTAACATGATAGATAGGTAATCAACATGCAAACCAAGACATGAGTTTCGATATAAAACCCCACGGAATCGCAGACGACCAAAGGCGTGGACGCTCACGATAACTTATGACCGAAGGCTCCTAATTGTAGATATCAAGTTTGAAACGGTTTACGGCCCCCGTGGCGTCTGGGCGTAGATCTACAATGATCCAGAAAATCCAGCAGGAACAATAGGGGCCGGTCTGCCCAAGAACGGTCTTGTCCAATTCAAAGAGTACGAGGAGTTCGGCAATTTGGACCAAATCGAGCTCTTGGAGCTTCTCGGCGTGAGAGGCAATGCGGAGATTAGGTCCTGTTAGATAAGATTAGATATGAGTGGTGAAAACAACTTGACTGCAAACCGTCTTCCCGGGTGTCTAGTTGCGTCACGGTATTCCTCGTATGGAGATAAGATGTGCAAGCCTGATATAATCTTCACTTCTCAAGACAGTCGCAGTCTGTATGGGTGTCAGGATGCGCAAAAGAATGGTGAATCAGCAGGTTCAGTTCTGATAGGCCAAATCAATTTTCCACATGTATGACGACTTCTTGACCGGATGTGGTGAAAGACCTGAGCAACCTGCTTAAGGCTCTGAGAGCAGACGTATTCGCCCTCAACAAGTAAGAAACATAGTCATAGATGGGAGCCTGAATACGACGAAATTAGCACTTCTTAGATCGTTGAGGAAACAAAAGTCAGAGCCGCGATAATACTTATAGCAACCTCTTCAAGAGTCTACGAATCGGAGGGACGCGCTATGCGAGCTACGTATCAATGCCAGTGTGCTCGAGGCTGGATTGTACTTACTTGTAAAATGAGTCAATGGCGCCAGTCTGCATACTCTGCAAGTGCCTGGATGCGGAATTAGTGTCCCCTATCATGATCAATAGTGGTTGAACCCTCCTGAGCGTCGTTGGCGTAGTAGAATCTAGATGGGTGCCACAACGCAAACAATCAACAATAGATGGAGTGTGGGAAAAGTCTGCAGCCTCATTGTAACAGTCGCGTTTGCTCAACGCCTCAAACGCAACTCATTCATCCATTTCAACCCTTTGCCGTCATCTCCATCGTCGTCTAACACAACGAGGCACGTTGATTTACGCATATTAAATATGTCTACCACCAGGTTACACCACCACCCATCTCTTCCCGCCCCCGTCGTTCACGCTGGCTTCTCCGCCCACCAGTCCAAGTCTCATGTGCTCGCCGGGGTGCAGGACGCGTATTGGAGTGACGATGACGCCGTAAGTCTAATTTTTGTTTTGATGATCACATATAACGTCATTTATCTACCGATCCCAGGATGATGCAGATTGTCCGCTTTGTCTCGAAGAAATGGATATTTCAGACCTTAATTTTAAGCCGTGTGTCTGCGGGTACCAGGTATATTGTCTCGTTCATTATGTATTAGGTAGATGCGCTCAGCCCCACTCAGATATGTAGATTCTGTTGGCATCATATTAAGCAGAACCTCAACGGCCGTTGTCCCGCTTGTCGCCGTGAGTACACTGACGAAACTGTTCAGTTCAAACCTATTGCGAAAGAAGAGTGCGTTCCGCCCTCACAATTTACTTCCTAAAATTCAATATAGGCCTTCCTGGCGTGTTATAGCCATAAACGCCTGACCCAGCAGAAGAAGCAACGTGAACGGGAGCGCAAAGAACTTGACGCCCTTGGTAGGCGCCATCTCGCCAATGTCCGCGTCGTCCAGCGCAACGTTGTATATGTCGTTGGTATCGGTCCTCGATTTGCAAAGGAGGAGGTATGTTACACCTTTCATCAAACCACTTCTTACCTCATCCAATAATACTCTTCGACGTAGCTCATCCCCACCCTTCGCTCGAATGACTATTTTGGGCAATATGGCAAAATCTCTAAGATTCTGCTTGTCAAGCGTACATCCTCAGGGGGTGGTGCGCCTATTGTAGGACTCTACATTACGTACCATCGGCGCGAGGATGCTGCACGTTGCATCTCAACCGTTGACGGTGCCCCAAGCCCAGGAGGAGGTCGAGAGGTCATGCGTGCCAGCTATGGGACGACAAAGTATTGCATGGCGTTTCTCCGCGGTGTGTCGTGTACCGATCACACCTGTATGAATCTGCACGAATGGGGAGATGAGAAAGACTGCTTTACAAAGGAAGATCTAACGACGTTGTGCGTGTGGATTTTTGAAACGTTTTTACGGGGTGGCTTACCCATTTCCAGGAAACATACCATCAAGGACACAGAAAGCAGGGGGACCAAGAATGGGGATGGTGCGTCGTGATCATACAATTATTCCTCTCACTCATACATAACCTCTTCCAGGCCTCCCGCGCGCTGCAGCATGGGCCAAACCTGCCACTCCGACGCCCAGCAGTACGATGTCCACTGCTACCATTGCTCAGCGTCCCCGGCGTGGTGGTCAGCGGCAGGCGCGTACACCACGCCCACAGCACGATCGCAAGGCTGGCTCAGGTGGCGGAGGCAGTACGAAAACACCCTCCATCGCGTCTTCGTCTCGGCCCCCGACGCCCGCTGTCTCTCCCGCGTCCCCCGACGCCACCTGAGGTCAAGACTCTCCGGGTCAAGGAACCGGCACCGCTCCCGCTTCCCCCGACGTCGCCCTCACCGTCAATGGCAGTCGACTCAGATGATGTAGGCTCCGGGAGTCAGGATATGCCACCGAGTCCGGCGCGCCCGCGCTCCACGGAGAGTGTGGACAGTACACCGGCTGTACCTACCTCTCTGCCACCAGGTTTGCCAGATGCCCCACCTGGTCTCCCGCCTCCGACTCGTACATCTAAGACGGAGCCTGCTCTTGCGCCAGGTCTCCAAGCACTACAAATGTCTGGGGGAAGCTACCAGATGTCTACCGCTGCGCAAGCGCTACTTGATGACGTTAAAGCGCGTCGCGAGGCGGTGCTTTCGAGCACGCAAGTGAGCGTCTTTCCCGATTTCGATCGCACGCTGCGTATGCTCTCGGGGAGCGAGGGTGGGTTCAGCTTCAATCTGGACCCAAAGCTTGCAGACGTAGATGTGAATGCGGAAGGAGAGGCAGTATTGAACGCGCTTGAAGCGGAAGCTCGCGTGCCTTTCGCCGGTGGCTTTATGGACGCATTCCCTGCGCTCAAGCCACAAGCACACCCTCACACGCATCAAGTGCCAGCCATGTACCCTCATAATCCCGCCCGCTCCATTTATGACCCTCTCGCAATGCGTGAGAGCTATCTTGGGTCGTTCAATCCCTTCGGGGAAACGGAAGGATCCTCAACTGACGGTGGTGCGCGTAGCTCGCCGTCGTACCCTGATGAGGAACGGAAGGTTTCAAGATTTGGATTCGCACGGGGGAGGCAAGGCTCAACAGCTGCGAGCTCCCCCGTTCACGTGTCATCCCCGTTGAGTGCGAGTGATAGCCATCACTCGTTTTTCACGGCTTCGGAGACTCCTGCGATGACGTCGTCCCATTGGAGTCATGGAGGACATGGAGAGTACGCAGGATATTCCACCAATTCTCCGCTTGTGCAGCACGCGCAGGCGGTGCAGTCGCCCCGCAGCAGCACGCGCAGCCACAGACACAGCCGACACGCTTTCAGCAGTTCGACACGAGTATGAGCGTGAGTGAAGCCCAGCTCCGTGAGCTGATTCAGTCGAGCAGGGAGCGTGCCGGCTCGATGCAGATGCATAACGCTACAGCTGGTAGGAGACTTCTGTTTGTGTAAGCCGCTGGACTGCGCATTGACGATTTTGTCTTTCTTCACTTCACTTTGATTCATTGTGGTTCACGTGTATGCTTCTTGTATGATGATGCCGTCTATGTTTTTTTTGCATTTTTGTTTTCAGTTTCAGATCAACCTCAGTACCAGTTTGCACCTTTCAGTGACCCCGCAATCATGTCAGCACGTTTCGCTTCGCCTGTATTATCCTCCGCAAGTCTGTCGTATGCTGGTACACCAGCAATTGCGACTGCGGCACCAGCTGCTACGGCTACCTACGGCCCCCCGCCGGGCCTAGCATACCCAAATAGTGAGTCCCTTTCTTTTGTTCAGGGGAGGGAGTCCCAGGTCAGAGTACCGAGCCCCGTGCTTGCAGTGCGCAAATTCTACCACCGGCCATGAGAGCCTCCGGGACCTTCGCATTCGGCCAACATTATTTCGATTCTCCCCTTTTGTCCCCTCCTTTTCCCCTCCCTCGATGGTTTTAGCCTTGGTTAGATGCATGCTGACTAACGGTTGTTTCCCTCCCTCTTTTTCTTTTAACCATCTGTTCGTTCGCCAACTTCGCTTTTAGTCACTCCTTCGGTTTCGTCCTCGCCTTCGCCAGTCCCGGCACTGTCGTCTGCTGATTTTCCTGCCCTGAACGCCGATGTACTGCCTCCACCTGATGCACGGCCTGCCGAGGCATCATCACCCGCCGAAGGCAGTAAGGAACAGGCCAAAGCAGAGCGCAAGGCTGCAAAAAAGGCGGCGGCGGCGGAGCGTGCGCTCGAGCGCCAGAAGGCAGCCCAAGAGAAATCAGCTGCAAAGGCCACTGAGAAGGCCCGGATTGCGCAGGAGAAGGCTATGGAGAAGGAGAAGCTGGCGAAGGAGAGAGAAGAGCGAGAGAAGTTGGTACGGGATAAGGTGGAAGTGGAGAGGGTGGAAAAGGAGAGGCAGGCGCGAGAGAAGGCGGCTGAGGAAGAGACGGAAAGAGCTGTCATAAAGGAGAAGGAGAGGCAAGCCCTGGCTGAAAAGACTCAAGCCGAAAAGGCAAGGGCAGCCCAGGCCAAGGCTCAAAAAGCCGCCAAGTCTGCATTGGCGGTCAAAGCTACGAAGTCTACGGGCTCCTCTGGTCAGGTGCCCGTTACTCCAACTGCTAAGCAGGCCTCCGCTCCATCTAAGACATCTGAACCCGTGGAACAAGCACCCATACTGTCCAAGATGCCGAAGAAGAATAAACCTGTCACTCGTCCAATCAAGATCCCGAAGGAGGATGAGATTACTCTTGGAGATGCCTCGGCTGCACCATCGATTTCAGTTTCAGAGACTGTGAATTTTCCATCACCTCCCAAGACTACGAATACAATCGTCTCTAGCCCGAACAACTCGAGGGCGCAGTCTGTGGACACATCCTCTCCTGTGGGACCTACCTCACTTGCCAATTTACTCGACGACATTGACGTGAGGAATCCGAGCATGGATCTTCCCAATCATCCGTTCTTTGATTTAGCAAAGATCAATCCCGCTGCCAAGATGCCTCTTGAGTATGGTCCTCTGGTGCATGCGTTGTCTGCCCTTTCTGTGGGTGGCGGGTCATTCGCTACCAACATGCCTTCGGGCTCCATCGACAATGCCGTGTCTTCATTCCAACAGCTGTTGGAGACACTAACACAGACTATCTCCGACCTCCTGCGCCTGCTTCCTCGGACGACGTGGGACGACAGCTCTTCATTTGATGGCGTACTTCGTGACATGCTCAAGGGTGATGATTTCTTAGATGACGGCGGTGATGATACAGCTGGCAAAGAAGATGAAGTCGCCGCGTTGACGCTCGCCCTCGAGCGTCGAGCCCGCTGGATGGAAGTGCAGTTGTCCAAGCTCGAGGAACTTCATCGTGACATCAACACAGCTGCGGTACGCGCCGTCCTTGCATTCAATGACAGTGGCTGGGATCGTCACATTTTTATGCCTAGGGTTGGCAACACCCTCCGCCGCTTCGACAATATTGGCATGGTAGAGCAAAGTGATAAGATGAGGCCGATGACAGTGGACGAGTTGGAGAAGAAGCTGCAGGTGGCCAAGGAAGCTGCCATATTTGCGGAGACTGAGTTCCGGGAGGCGATGGGGAAAATGCAAGCTGTGAAGCCTGCGGAAGTTGACGACTACTGAGTAGGCTAGCAGGAAAGCATACAGTAGTCTGACTGGTCGTACTTAATACACGATGAGCATTTGGCTGGCATGTCAGAGTGATATTCGTCACGTGCATCGAACGCGCCCAGACACGTCTAGAATGTGATATTGGTATTGTACATCGTGCGGCTGACCATGCATCTGGAGGTCATTATGTCCAGGTAATTAATATTTAATCCCCACCTCAGCTTTTTGGCAACCCGTCGACTGACATGGCTGGCCATAGCACACAACGCCAAAAGCAACTCTCTCGGCTCGCTATCATCATCATTGTTATCCTGTTCGCTGCTGTGCTGGCACGCCAACTATTCTCAAAAGCAACCTTTCATGATGAACACCCTCGTGTGCGCAGCCCTCACACCTTCATCGAGGGACGCTGGAAAGACGTGCGGTCGTCACTGGGCTTACCTCCTCTTCCTGACACCATCAACCCATCGGCTGCCATTCTGCCCCCGTCGACACCATCTCGCACAGGAAAGCTCACCTCGCGCTTCGATCTCCGTCGAAAGCGCGCCGAAGCAGAACTTCGGAGTCGGAACAGACTTCACCTCGCTGCCGACGTGAGAGATGCACCCCGCGTCTCAGTGCAAGCACTAGCTGCGTCATTCCGCCGCATTGCGGCAACTGAGAAAGAAATAGCGGAGATGCGAGGCAAACATGAGAAGTCGGGACAAAAGATACGGGTTCAGAGACGCATCGAGGACTGGCAGGACCCAACAAATGCAAAAGATGTATCGACTACTGTCACGAATGACTAAATGATGCTCGCAGTCGACAATCGTACCAATCGAGTAGACATTATACGATCGACAATGTATGACAGCAACGATCACTATCACTCCTCCTTGGCTGGAACAGGCTCCACGCCATCACCTGTCTTACTCTTCATCCATGCAACGAAGTCATCGAGTAATGATGGCCAAGCCTACAGGATTTAGTATGCGCATAGTTACCATGCAATATGAATCTGATGTAACGTACCCCATCAGCTTCATAATTGGACAAGGAAGGGTCCACAGCGTGGCAGAACTCGTGTACCTATCTTGCATCAGTACATCATATGCCTGATGATAGAAGGACTTACCATATTCCAAATATCCTTGTTTGCACCTTTGTATGTACCTTTCTCCTACAGGAAAAGATGAGCGGCATCTAAGGCAGGGGTGACAGCGACGTACAGGTAAGAAGGTGATCAAATCGTTGATGATTGGATATCGTGGAGCAAGGAGCACCGACCACAGCGCCATAGCCGTCTATATTGGGAATAATAAGATACATGGTTCGCCGCGGACACAGGACTCCTTACCTCTAAGTCGATGTTTCGTGCTTGTCTGATATGGATGATCGGAAGGATTGCCTTTCGGAGATAGCTAAGAACTCACGGTGGCTTAGCAAGCGTGAAGCAAAACTGATAGAGATCTGCGAAAGCAGTCTTGCGGTCAGAAGCATACTCCCTGTAACGAGTTCGGTTATAGGGCTCTTTTGTGCTTGCACCGCCACGCTTCTTTGCTTGACTCGAGATGGAAGCCGAGCGAGCGAGCGCCTGCTTATCACGAATAAGAAGATCTTCGAGTTCTCTCAAAGCTTGAGCTAGAACTGGCAACGAGGAGATTCTGATACATTCAATTATGAAATAGAAAAGCATAAATCATAGAGACTCACTCAAGTAAGCCCATTCCATGCAACCATTCTGCCCTCGTAAACTTGCCCATTTCGCTACTCCTTAGCTGCCACGCAAGGATAAGGGGCTGTGCACCATCAAGCGGTATGTCAGCCTCCGTACATAATTTTTCCAGTCCCCCTGGTCCAATCACATCGCGGTCGTCTTCATCGGCAAATGAGTTGAACAGGACTTGCGCCCGCTGAGGGACATACGGTTCGGTGGGGGCTTCTTGGGATTCCTTGGGCTGAGGAAACAGAGGAGCAACGATGGCGTCAGAAGCGTGCAGAGTATAAACGATAGTTACCATTTGCACGTACCGCCACCTTGTTTATCTCATCTACTTCGTCGCTGCGAGCGGGCGTGTTAGAGACACAGCACAACAAAGACGACAGGCGCATGAAGGAATGTCGTGAACGACGTGAAGGTTGAGTCGTGAGATACGATTGATCCGTCGTGGCCGTCAGGATTGAAGTGTACTAAAGGCAGACTTACTCGTTCAATGAAAACCTAGTCGAGGCGAGTTTCTGCAAGTGATGGAATGGTGTTATATAAAGTTAGGAAAAGGATGTCTGCCGCAAGCTTACATCATCATTACTTCTTTCGTGAACGTGGCGAACAATTTGGGCGTAAGGAGGCCTTCCGTGAGTTCACTACTGCATGCAGGGGCCGGAAGACTCACCCAATCGTCGTGTTGGTGCGACCTTTTGTAGTTGTTTTCGCTGCTCTTGATGTTGCTTTCGTTCCGGTGTTTCTTGTTTTCTTTTGAGGTGGAGCCATCTGCGGAACAGTGAGTGGTAAAGGAGATTGCCCAACAGCCCGGGCAAGCTTGCGCACATCTACACCATCCGCAGAACTGTCTTTTGGAACCCTGCTCATAGCCTTTATTACCATCAGGACGGAACACAGTGGGAAGACAAGACGCACGAGGCTCCAACACTGGTGACACTTATGGTGGCGTTTTGACCTCCACCTTGCATTTCAATTCATCGGACTGGAATCACTAGGATTATAGGAGCCTACCGGTCCGCGTTGAACTTCGCGTCGAACGAGTTGCAGGAGCCCCTTGAAGGTCTGCGTCCGTACGCTTTCGCTGAATGGCTGCGTCAGGGACAAATAAGTTTGAGAGTGAACAGGACTTGCTTTAGGTGGCATATCCAAGTAAGAGAGCCAGACTGGAGAAACAACAGAAGAGAGAAGTATAAATGGTCGTTCAAAGGGTAAAGGTAAAGGGAATTATTGGCGCGTTCAGGGCGCGTTGTGACGCATTGTGTCACGACACGTGACAATGTGACTCTCCAGCATGATGCTGGAATCCCGCCGTTCGATCAAGATCTACTCATAACTTGCCATGAACGGAGAAATCTTCAATGCCAACCCAACCGTCTATGCTTCCAAGCGTTCCACCCGTAAATCGAAATTTGAAGCAGGGCAGTCACTATGGATTGACGAACAGTACCAGCCCGAGCTCAGCAGTGAGTCTGAAGTGGAGCCTATCGACGAGGATGAGATATTCGGTGTGTTTCAGGCCTTCTTAACTCCTAAACTCACCTAAATCGCACACACCGCTACAGACTTGATCCGCTCTATCGCAGATCCTGAGCATCCTAATTCTCTTGAAGAACTCAGGGTAGTCTCTGCAGAGCAGATTAAAATGGGTGACAATCACATCATGGTCGAGTTTACTCCCACCGTACCTCACTGTGGGATGTCAACATTGATTGGCGAGTGTTTTTACAACGTTTTGAGAATCTCTCTTGACCAACTGCTCAGGGCTGTCCATTCGCGTGCGACTGATGCGAAGTTTGCCTCAGCGTTTCAAAGTGGATATCCGAGTGAAACCAGGATCACATCAGAGTGAACTTGCAGGTTAGCAACCGAACTTCTGCTCCCTTCTATCCCTTTTTGACCGCGTGTCTTAGTCAATAAACAGTTGAATGATAAGGAGCGTGTTGCTGCTGCTTTGGAAAACCCTGCCTTAGTGGAGACATTAGAAAAGTGTCTAGAGCCTGTTGGAGGACACGACAGCCGGTAGCAAGTATTAATTCCCTTTATATGACAAGTTGTATCTGTAGCTTTATCTTGCAGGATTGTAGCACCTTTGTTCTACTTAAGTGCAGTCACGCTGTTCCAAAAATAGCAACCATCTTCCTCGTAAGTGATTTATGACCGTGTCAGTACATTTTTGTTTCTCTAGGAGACTAATTGCAATTCATCATGGCTCTTCTTGCTATCGGCATAGCCCGCATCGCACTTTCCCCATCAGGTTTCCTGCGTGCGCTCTCATCGCGTCTGGGTCCAATAGGGTCCAATGTCATGAAGCTTTCTGTCAACAGGCGGTCCGATGTAGTCATCATCGCTTGTGTTATTTCGTGGTCCGCTGCAGATTTCTACTGCAACAATACAGACGACGACAACTAGATTGCACACTACGAAAAATACGGAGAGCTTTTGGAGACCGACATCACCAGTTATAGTTGTAACCTGCCCCAGATCTGTACCGATGTCGATAACAGCTGGCATGCTGCGGACTGAACAAGGAGCCCCAAAAATGGTCGCACATGGAACAGTTATGCTATAGTGGTGGGCGTGGATTTTTTCCGCTGTCTTCGCGTGAATCGAACAGGCCAGAAAAAGAGTGATGCAATAAAATCAATGCCAAGACATGGTCAGTTATCACATTCATCTGCCACTGACGATGAGGTGATGCACTGGACCGTCGGCTTGCTCAAGATTCGACTGTACCCGCCTTTATGACGCGGAGAGTTATGTCACGCCGAAGCCGGACTGGATCCGTCTTTGTGGCTACTACTAAGTAGTATCAACCTTCACACGGCGGAAGTGATAACCACGGGTGACTACGCGGCGAGGACATTCGTCCGAAGGTGTAATGTGGATTGCAAAAATATTCATACCCCGGGAAACTCTTTACGAAGCCCGTCAGGGCTAGCCTAGCCGAGTTCACCGCGGCACAGGTTGGGGAGACACCCGCATGTTGGAGCGGGCACTGTCGTAAGACCCTGCTGCCACCAAACATCTTCCCACCAGAATCTCCGTCATTGCACCCAATGACGGTGAACAGAATTAGGTAATGCTTGAGGACTCCTGCCGTTTGAACGTATTGGATCACAAGAATACCGATGCCCGCCAGGGGTTTCCAGCTCGACTTCGACACGGACATGATAGATAGAGATAGCCGAGCACTAACAAGTCACATTGACGCTTCAAGTTTCAGCCGGTGCAGGCTGCCTTCAGGCTGATATGCCTTCGCAAGCGAACACGCGTTGGACTAACCTTTCCCTGAAGGATGACAGGTGAATTGGTGGGCTGGTGGGTAGCCTTCCGACATCAAAAGTAGGGTTGCATTCGACCACATCCAACTGGCTGGCTAGTTTTAATTAAACTGCTACAGGGGTGGTGTGCCGCATCAATATCAATGTTGTGCGTAAGGGAAAGGAGAAGCCATGTGGCTTTCTCAGAGCCGCCAAGGTCGTGTAGTGAGTCTTCCAGTACCGGCGGCAAACCATGAATAGTCAAATCTCCCAAGCTATCTTACTATATGATGGCCGAATACTTTATGCATTAAATTGAATCGATTATTTATAAAGTCATGTCCCTACTATAAGTCTGTCAGTCCGTGGAGGATCATATTGATACAGTGATGTTTGCGGTAGGTATAAAAAGGCTACATTTATGTAGTGTGAATGAAAGCGTGCTACATTGGGGGATATAAAGAAGAGAGAAGAGAGATAACCTAAAGACCAATCCACTGACAGTCAGCATGTAAGAAGTGTACGGTTCGAATAAAGTCAGAAACCGAAAAGAGCGACAGAACAAATAAGAAAACGTTGCTCTCAATCCTCAAGGAGAAAATCCCAATTAATATTCCTCTCCGGTAATTTCTTAGAAGTCGAACTAAAAATGCGTTTCAACGTTTCTTTGGGCTGGCTCTCTGGAGCGTTGGTGTGAAGATCCCACATCCTGAACGTCACCAGACCGCGGGTATCGACCCATACTTCGTCACTGTCCCAATTGTCTTCCATAGACATTGCCTCATTCACGCGGACATTTGCCATCATGCGGTTGACAAAACCAGCTGAGAAAGATGGTGTGCCCGAGCAACGAATGTGACCTCGAAAATCTGAGGGCAACCAAACGGTCACGTTGGAAGTGGTGGTTCGGATGTCAAGGAAAAACTTGCAACGAGGCACAGAGCGGCACTGTTATTACGAAGAGATGTTCAGACATGATGCAGCAACTCAGAAGATGGCACTTACAACTTTGAGCTTAATTGGTGATGTCTCGTTACTAATGAACATGGCCAGACGGTGGTCTATCGGCTGATTGCGTGCACGATAGTGTGGGAGCGCCAGAGATATATCAATGGGCTTCGGTGTCTTGAGCATAAAATCGTAGTCACTCAGAGCGTTGTAGTGAATCTTATGGGTGCCAGTTGGCTGAATCCTCTGTGTAATGAGTCAGCTACTTGCACGCAAATAGAGCAAGGAGGATTGTATTGTACCAATAAACAAGTCTTTTCGAGTGATAATGAGCTCTAAGGCAGACTTTAGCTGGACGTTATACTGTGTTTGAAGGATGAAACTGACCTCGGAGTCTGATGTCATTGAACAGTTCGAATATCTCGACATAACGCGCCAATTAATTCAGTAATGAACGAACAATCGTGATGAACAAAATACGAGCGGGGACAAGAATACGAAGGGCGTCGGTCGGGAAATCTCCCAAGGCTCTGCATATTTAAGGGTTTGGGAAGGCGGTCACTTATACGTCACCGAGACGGAGTCATGATCCCGCAAATCGTTTCCCTTATGCCTTATTTGGGTAGTCTTGTATTCGGAAACAAAAAAGCGCGCTTGTAATCTTGATTCTTAGCTTGGCCACCCGAAGGCGAGAACAATTATGCCTTCTACTTCGGCTCGACGGGTACTCCGCGTGCCTCGCTCGTGGTGCCAGCACGTGGCCATCACTCAGATATTAGATCTACCACAACAACGCCTATTACAAGTTTACATGGCTGTATCCAGACAGCGCCGAACGTACAATACACAGAGAAACCACTTCAAGAATCACCTGTAACGCCCAAAGCTGAGTCCAACAACCTAGATGAGCCTAGACGCCGGTGAAAAATCTTCCGCATGCCACGATCCATGCGAGACCAAACCCTATCGTTGATATCACCCGGTTCCGTTCTCAGCATTAGCTCGATCTTTCCCTCCGCGTGGATGAAAACTTCGTCCTCATTTTCGAGCGCACAGGATTCAAGCCTGATAAAACCCCGGCGCATTCGCTCGTTGAAGGCACGACCACAACGAATCTGCCTCCGACGACGTAGACCCTCGTAGTCGTTGATGGACACGATGCCCCGGAAAGAGGGGGGGTAACGTGATTTTCACACCGGCTGAGCATGCGAAAATATGGAGGCGAAAGAAGTGATTCTCTCCACCAGGTGTACGAAACTAAAGAAGCCAACATTACTAAATGCAGTCGTTTCATCATTGGTCGGTCACCCAAGTGACCACCCGGTGGGATGCACTTACAACTTCGGCCTTGATGGATCCAAAGCGACTAGAAAGATATGCTACCGATTTGGCCAACGGCGCAGTATCAGATGGGAACGGTGAGAGCATGATAAGCCTCGCGCGAATATGTTGATTGGTTGCTGACGTTTGGAACACAAACGGATCGCCAAAGACGGCATCTTGCTTGCGGGGGAGAAACTGCTCGGTGACAAATGCAGTGTTCTCTTCCTGAATGGCAGTCAAGTCACACAACACCTAGCATATTCCATTTATACTTACCTCTGTTGTGGTTGATGCCGACAGAGCGCTTAAATTACTAAGAAGCTGTATTAATGCTGCGTTAGTTTGAGATTTCCTGTGAGACGTGGAATCGCTAACCGACAGTGGTGGGGTGAGCCTGCTCATGTTCAGAATAATGTTCAGTGTATCATGGCACCATACGGATCCATCAAGTTTATATACAGTGCTTTGCCACTCAGATTTGTCTGACTGTCAGAAAAAGCAGTTAAGTTGTGGACTACTGTGGACTGATTGCCACTGGAACAAAGGCTACTGTGGCACTGGCACTTAGCGGGGGCTCTGCAGCGACACAAAGGAGAAGCTTCGGGGTTTCCTGACACGTGTTGGGACACTGCTCCACGACGGTGGTCCACGGAGGTATCTGGTTTTGAACTACATAGACGACCGCCAACGAACCACTTGAACGAGGGCCAATGGAAAAGGGCATTGTGTACCCAAATCTGAGGGTCGAAGGAAATTGAATACACGTTACCCACACAGCTCTGGAGTAGCTGGCGGAAAAGTAAAGGTGTCTTCAAATCATGCGCTCGCTACCTGCCGAAAAGCACGATAAAGCACAACGTACAATACATGTCTGTAGCATCCTAGCCAGATTTTTAGATAGGAATAATCGGCTTACAAAAGCGATTGATCCTCTTCAGAATCTACAACAACGTCATCATCCTGAGGATGTTGCCGCACGATTGTTGGCCCGGAGTCTTTTCTAGCCTTGCTATTCCGCGCTTCGGCAATCAGCCGTGCAAACTCTCCTTGATTATTCGACTACAGCTTGCGATGAGTATTCTCAGCAATAGAAGGAACGGAAGACCTACCATGTGAGTTGCTGTATTATCCACAAGATGTCTTCGCTTTCTATTATCTTCCCAATTCTTCAATTCATTGCGTAATTCTTTCGTAGTCTTCCTGTTAGAACCAGACTTATCCAAATTGGCATTAAAAATCATAACCCAGCTAAAATCCGTTGAGAACTGCGCATTTGATTGGAGCCAACAAGTCACACACCGTTGATGTCGAGCAATCCACGTTTTCCGGTCACCAAGGACGGGTAAATTGTGAGTATGCAACAAGTCTTTGACTTGTTTGTCCTTCAATACATCATATGAGGCCTTGGGTATGCGCTCCGTTGCATCATCCACGTCAATCCTGCCTCCACGTTCTTGTCAGCTCGTTATGGTCAGAATTAAACTAAAGCTTACCCGTTATCCCTACTCTTCCCCTTTTTTAAAAATAACTTTGTCCATTGATCTTTGGCGCCTGATGTCGCAGCACCGGATGCATTAAATAAAATTTTCTGGCATCCCGAGTCTAAATGCGTGTTGATATCTCCCATGACAGTAGGCACATCGCAGATAGGACAGTTTACCATCTGACCCCCTAACTACGAATTGAGCACTACTGTGCCACAATATAAAAGGACGCCCAAACCTTGCACCATTTCTTCCTCTTGTGGATCCGACGAAGGTTCCATATCTTGCCTTCTCGAACGCCTGGACTTGTTTGGTACCGGGGAAGAGGCGAGCTGACTTGAATTAGAAGGACCCGAAACCATAACGACATCCGAATCGGAAGACATTGAGCTAACGCGCCGCTTGCGCTTCTTACCGTTGGTCAATGGGGTTTTGGACCGGCGGGATGTTTGCTCTTCTTGACTCCTTCTGGTGCGGTCTTGTTCCTTACGGGAGAGCCGGAGGATAGTTGAACTGTACTTGTTCAAACTGCATCTACGCAAGGGAGGATGCAGGACTCACCGTGCAGTTTTCCATGCACTCACTGCTTCCTCAAGAACTGGATTTGTCCTAAATTGTCCTTCACTTGTCGACTTCCTGCAGCTTGGGCACTCCGATTCTTTGACAATGTGTTCCCGAATACACTACCAGCAACATTCATATGTCAGGCTGCATGAGAAAGGGGGTAAGGCACTCACAAGTGAGCAGAAGCAGTGTCCACAGGCAAGTGTTATGGGTGCATCGTACAATTCGCCGCAAATTGTGCATCGCAGACTCGCATCCAGTTGTCGCAAGTCTGGCATAGGGAAATCGCTCGGGTCTGGGATATTTGTGGAAAGAAGAGCTTGGACGTTATTCGTGGGCATGAAGCTCGGTCGGACGATAGTTTGAACTTTGTAGTAGATAAAAGATTTCCAAGATAGAAGAATGCTAGAAGAACTCGTCCAAAGGTTCCAAGAAGAAAGAAGCAAAGAGATTCTGGCACTAGCAACGCGTTGTGGTCGCGTAATCGCACGTCCCACATGTGACTTGTGTGACTTTTCGCGTTCTGACGTCACGTATTTGCTGCACGACATAATAAATACGAATATTGTCCATCAAGAGATGAATGATACACTATTCTACATGCAAATGGGGTGGGTATATAAAAGTACAATTTACATCCGCGAATGATTCCAGTGAGTCAGAAAATGCCTTCAAAATCATACATCTCTTTTCCATCGTCGGGTGAAGCAACATTTCGAAGAAGTGGATCAAGAGATGTCAACTCATCCTTGATTCCATTTCGAGCGACCTGGTCTAACTCCTTCAATAAGGCTGAAGTTATTTTCTGCCGTGTTTTGGTCAATATCCATGTTTCCATGTCATCCAGAATTTATTACCTTGAATTTTGTGTCCACTTTTAGGAGCATATCTCCCATCCCGGGCGTCCAGCTAGGTGGCGGGCTTCCGAGGGCACCGCCGTAACCACCGTGTACGTTTGCAATACCCCACAGGCTGGAGTCGCCGTCATCCATTTGCTTCACATTTGAGTCGGCGCCAGAGAATAGATACGAAACACCAGGATGTGGCGCGAGAAGCCCGAGAGGTCCCATCATGTGTTGCCCAGAGTTTGGAAATGGTGAGGGGCCCAGTATTCGCGATATTTTATTATATACTTCCGAGATAACATCCAGGAGGGAGAGAAGGGTCTGATGATAGTCTAGAGGAAATGGCTGCGAACGTTTCAGTTAATTGGAACACTATCAAACCCGCAGGGGACGTACTATATGAGGTGAAACGAGGTATGATGTTTCCGATCCGTCCGTATATGGTACAGTATATTCAGCGAAACCCCCAGCAGCTTGCCGTTTTGCTACTTTGGACCGGAATAACCGCTGGACCTACAGTAAGCCGTGAACGACCCACGGTTGTCGGATAAAAGCTTACGATCTTTGGCTGACGGTCGGGCTCCTCCTTTGCCTGGTCATATTCGTTCATGGTATTCATTAGTCCGCGGAGAAAGTCTTGGACTTGAGGTATATCTAATAGATTTGAGAGCGACATTGCAAGGATAGCAAATCGATATGTCCTGTTTCATAATGCCTCAGCAAAATCGCTATAAGTAATGAATGCCGAGGCTTGCCGCACCGTTTGCGCATAGCTAAGTTATTGAATGCCTTGTCGAGTTCAGTCCTGGACATCATAATTGTATGGAACCAATGACTTCTCCTGCGGGTAATCATGAGCTCTAGGAATCAATTAAGGGCAGACCGAACACACCCTTCATGAACATTTCGCATATAAGTTAACGTGATGATCCGCTTCTGCACCAAATCTCGGAGATATTCGACAGAGGTTCCCTGCGCGATGACCGGTGTGCCATTGCCCACCAACGTGGCATTAGATGAAAGCGTGTCAGAGTGAACAGACTGGCCATCCCATTCCCTGCCGGATGCAGGAATCGTAGTTGGTGTGGAGACTGAGGTATAAGCGACGCTGGTAGCCGATGATATGCTGCCCACCGTTGCTGTATTGCCAGCGCCATTCGCAGGCTTAAATGACGACAGCAAGTTCTGCGCCGAACTCTTCCTGCGCATAGTTGGACGAGACGACTCTGTCATTGGTGGACTGCTTGGCGGAAGAGCAGCCTGGAAAACAGCTGCCATCTTGTGAGTGAGAATCACAGCCGAACCGTTGATAACCCAAATTGGGAAGGTTATCGATTGCAACTTATGCTTGGCAAGTTGCTCACTTTGCCCTACTACCACCATCTCTGCAATCGTTTGTGTCTTAGCTTTTGAACACCATGGATATTACTGCAATAGCAAAGGAATTCACTAAGTTCTACTACGAACAATTCGCAGGAGGCCGGCAGAACCTGGCCCCTTTATATGTGAGTACTTCGTGTATTTGCAACTTTCCGGTATTCTAACTCTTTTTTTGACAACTTCTAGCGGCCGCACTCCATGTTGACATGGGAGGGAAAACCGTTCCAGGGTGGAGCTAACATCGTGCAGCATCTGACCGTAAGTCTGATTGTATTTCAACACATCACTTACCGTTCTTCCGTATGGTTCAGGAACTGCCTTTTGAAAAGGTTGCCCACAAGATCAGCACATTTGACGCGCAGCCGTCCTCCCTTGACATGAGCACTCTCTTGATAAACGTGACAGGGCTGCTAAGGGTTCGTCTTCTTGTTGACCAATCGTGCGATCTAGCTCCTGAAGATGATGTAGGTGGACGGAGACCAAGAGTTGCAGTTCTCCCAGGTGTTTGTGCTGGCAAAGGAGGGCGAATCATTCTATGTGTATGTTCATCAACCTGGTGTTGAGACCTCCCTTAGAAATCGTTTGCAGGCTCAATGATATGTTCCGGCTCAACCTCGGCTGAAGTGCTGTAGCACAGCATATTGTAAATCTGGTAGATGAGACAAAGATCCCCGGAAGTGTAATGGAGGACGGAAGCTTCTGTCGTTTGTACCTCATAGCTTATTCCATCGAAAGTAGATCAGACTGTTAGTTTTAAAGATCGTCGTGTCGAACAACTCCAAGGGGGATCAGCAGAACACGCGCCAAACCGGTCAACTTTAATGTTCAACTAGCGCGCACACCAGCGGATATGAAAAACCGTAACAATAGGAAGTATGGAGACTAACACCAGGTAGAACATATTGTGTAGAGGGTATTAATACTAGTAGTCAGTCCATAAGCACAACAGACGAAGTCATGTAAAGAACCTGCATGAAACTTAATATTTCACGTGTCTAAACCCCAGCAACGATCCTATACGACAATGCATGGTCAGTACAGTATCAAGTCTGATGGGGGAAGATTCAACGTACTCTTCAGCCTTGTTCAGTGCCGTGACCATACTAACAACCTCTTTCCGGCGATTGACGACAAAGTCACTCTCCTTCATCAAGTCATCGAGCACTTCAGGTTTATACAACTCTTGGAGAAGCTCGCGTTGCAAGTTCTCTTTCGAGTGATTGACAAGCGTCAGCACAATAGCCTTTGGAACCATGTCGATCATTTCGCGTTTGACGATGTTGAAATATGAATGGATCAGTAGCTCTGAACGAGTAGGTCAAGTTAATTGTGCGAGTGAAGAAACGCGTAAAGATGACGCACTGATAACATCGGTTTCCATTGTTTCCCTCTCACTGAGAGCGGACAGGGGTCTTAATCACCGCTGGAGGCTAAGAAACGTGAATATAAGTTGCGGTATATTCAAGTATATGAGAAGGACGTACCGCCTCCATGACAGGACCGGCCTTCTTAGGTTGCCCCTTCTTGGCAGACGAGAAGAATGAGCCAAAGAAACTCGGCTCTTCCTTCTTGATATCAACATCCAAGTCACGGTTGTTGTTGATTTGACCCGGGGCAAGCTTCCCTGACTTGGCGTCTGGGACTGGCGTCGGAGGTTTGTTGGCGTTCAGTCTATCTTGAACTATTGACATAGCCTGTGCAGGATGCATGAGCTAATAAAAGATCATCAAAGTCATATATACTTGCCCTGTGTCCGTTAAGAAAGTCGGGATGGGTCGTGTTGACATAACATGCTTGCATCCTAATCATCAAGTGCATAAGGATGTAGAAAAAAGATAACATATGCCGTCATGGACGCACGAAACCATGTCAATTACAAGCTTCGTGGTGGGATTCATCGCTGTCTTGAAGAAATTAATTACAACGGAGTTGAAGCGCTCCCGGAGCGCAGGGAAACGTCTGAAGGCTTGCTGTATGATGCCATTAGCACTTTATTGCATTCGTCAGTCGTGTGAATACGTACAATTTTCTGTAGCAGTTGTCCGAGAATACGGATGAGTTCGTCATATACAAGCTGACAACATTTAACACTCGGCTCCTCCAGTCGCTTGATTTGTTGCTTGACAATGATCTCAAAGGCTTGCGTGCCAACAAAAAGTGATGGTGTTTGGCCCTGCAGAAATTTAATCCAACGGTCTCCAGTTATGCGAGTAACAAACCCACCGAAGAATTGTACAAGATAGTTCGGATATCCCCATCTTTGACCTGATCGAAAGGGTCGATACTCTTCACACCATTGTTGAACAACTCGTGGAAGACGAAGCTGATTCGTGCACCACCGCTCAATTCATTCAGGGAGAGGTCATTGGTGTTACCGTCAATGACTGTTCGGAATTCATTTGTGAACTCCGTGATGACCGAAAGGACTATGTTGCCAGAGGATGCATCACCCAAAGGACCGCCCAAGGTAGCCAGCTCGGCAGTGAATTTTTGAAGCTGCTGGCTTATACGAGCTTTGATATCGGGTAGAGTGGCACGAATGTGTTGCATGAGAATCTAAGACGGGAGGAAGACGTTAGTGACAAATCCACACAGTGCGTGGGGAGCAATCGAGGCACGCACCAAGTTGAGCTTACGGGCAAGGAAAGGAGTCCCGCAATACTGGGCTTTCCCTTTGTATGAAGGGTGCAACTCGAAGAAGCTGCGCTCTGCGTCTAATGCAGCGCTGATTGACTTGGATGTGTCAATGTCGCGTTGCCCTCGGTTTACGACTGGCACATATCCCAAACGTAACGGAATGACGCGCCCTGCAAGGATGTCCACAACGTCCGTTCCTTGGTCCCTTTTGGCGCGTTAGCTTCGAGAACTACACCGCTATTGAAGCATGGACCTACATAAGGTCGACCTTGGTCAAAACACCAATTGTTCTCGTTCCTTCTGGGTCAACCTCCCGAGCTAACTTCAAACCATCGGAGTTCGCCAAATCTGTATTGGCAGCGGTGACAGCCAAGATGATACATGCTGGCCGCGAGATGTACTTGACCAGCATGTCCTTGATTTGCTTTTCGATATCTTTGGGTTGATCTCCGACAGGGACTTTGGTTAGACCGGGCAAATCGACGAGAGTGAGAGTAAGGACATTGGGAGAGAATATACGCAAGTTGATGGGTTGTGGTGAGATGCCTGCATTGCGACCAGTCTTAGCTTCTGTATCTCGAACAATTTCGGCACGGATTTTGTTGAAGTCATAAAACTTTTCGCCAGGAAGGTGCAGGAATTCACCCCACTCCGATTCGTTCGCTTGCTTATCACTGCCGTTTAGTTGTGCTATCACACAAGTCAGCTAGGTAAATAAAGTCAAGGGAAGAGGCATACAATTTGGTGTCCCATTCGCTTGCGGCGCAGTTGCGGGACGATTAATGAGTTGAAGGACTAGTGGTCGCCGTGTCACGATACCAGTGCCACGAGGAAGGAAATCTCTTCCAACAATGTTCTAATGCATTAATGTAAGTAGTGCACTTCATATGCATCGAATGCCGCGGTACGCACCTCGAGCACACTACTCTTACCACTACTTTGACTTCCAAGCACGCAAATCTGTGGTAGGTCTATTTGGGATGCTGAGGAACCAACGGCCGAGAATACATCTTGCAGTTTGTTGATGACAGAGACGATTTCTGAACCGAGACCTGTCGACATGATGGGCAGACTAGATGATGGTGGACAAGGGCAAAGAATTACAGAAATGAACGAAGCTAGACCGTGACTTGAACTGCGAAACACGCAGTAGGCACGCCTTGGTGTGAACACAGCCACAACTCCAAACCAGAACAAATTTCCTTCTTCTCGTCTATATTTTCTCAGGTAAACACTGTTTTTGAAAGAAAGTCATAGCCTCCTGCCCGACTACTCACTTCTCGCACACACTTGCATGTTCTCGTCGTTTCTCTCTGTCTCACGCTTTTTCTTATCACAGTGATACCTGCGACGCAGCGCTCTGTTCCATACGGCTGCAAGCCAGTAGTAGCTGGAGATGGCAGCCAAAATTTGTCTAGCGTATCACAACCTTGTTTGATACGCGTGCCCCTATGTCAGATGTCTCATAATAACAGAATCATCATGGTAACGTAGGGACATACGTATCGCGAGGATTGTCGATGTAGCATCACATGAGTCAGAACATTTGGTAAATATTTGTGCCGGGCCTTTCAAGCTTCTTCGTTACAGCCTCACATGGGCCTCATGGATATCTTACGTTCATGCTTGGAAATTCGGATAAATATACCTTGTGACGACCTTCGTCTTGACTTCCACCATCATGGCGCAGTGTAATCAATGCGACCGTTTATTCCGTTCCACTGAGGCATTGTTTGCCCACTGTCGCGACAAAGATGACCACCCCTTCTGCGAGGATTGCGACAGATTATTCTCGACTTTTACTGGACTGGATCAGGTGCGCGATACGCATGTTGCCATTTTTCTCCCAACTCATGTACCTTTTATATCAGCACATGCAAAACGCTGCGGTACATCGCAGCGACAGTGAATCGGACGAGTATGCGTCCGAGAGCGACGATGACGATGACGATGACGATGACGACGACGACGAACCGTTCTGTGTGGGATGCAATAGGTGGTTTGTTGACCTGGCAAGCCTTTATCAGCACCTTGCTGCCAAGCGCAAAGCACAACTGGTGCTTTGCATGCTCGCGTGATTTCGCCACCCCGACTTCATTGGATCAAGTAAGTCCTGCTCTTGCCTCCACGCTTCATATATTAATAAAGACCCTGCTGCACAGCACTCATCCTCCCCCGTGCACAGGGGGCTGGATTTCGAGTGCCCTCTATGCTCAAAGAGGTTCAAGACCCCTTCCTCGATTGCCCTTCACATCGAGTCGGGGACTTGTCACAATATCTCACGAGCACAAGTAACCGCAGCAGTCCATGCACTCAAGATAGTGCCTACGATTTCGGTCTCTCGCCGCATAGAAGGCGGAACGATCCGCGTTGTATCTTACTATGTGACAGAGCGCGCATTCAACGGCACTGCTTACGAATGTTATCTCTGCCACCGTACTTTCCGTACCTTGGGGGCTCTGAACTCCCACATCAACTCTCCGACAGCATGACGCGGATGAGTTCAAGTGCCCAAAGTGCAAGAGGAAGTACAAGTTGGTTTCAGGCCTGATGCAAGCACATTGAAAGCGAAGCGTGTGGGATCGCGAGGTTCCAAGTGGTGGAGGACTTTACGAAAGACTTGGTTGACCAGTTTTTGAAGCGCTTGAAACTCTAACTTCGATTGGGAAGGATTATGCTCGGATTCCAAGGGGACTATGTACTGTAAGTGTAATATATGTTGTGTATGTGTATGAGAAAGTGAATCCGAATCTGGTTATCTCTTTGTGTCGCCACTGAAGAAGTTCTAGCCCAGAGCTCACCTCGATCGACAACAGTTTCGCGAAAACACGTTGAATTCATTAGACTAACAGGTCAACTCGCTCTTTTGAATGGTGTGCTATTCTTTCCCATTACACCGTGGCGTCTCTTGTATTTGCGAGGGACACACACTTCTTTATGAAATGCTGCAGGCATCGCAGCAATTTCACAAACATGCCTTGACAAGGCAGTGGAAGTCTCCTCAAAATTACTCCCCACAACTTCAGGTGATTTGATAGCCCACTGTGAGCCGCAGTCATTTAGGAGGTGTACCAATTATCCGTGGAGTTCACGATATGATGATGCTGGGGAAGCAAGGTTTCTGCCGATTTGGCATGGCGCTCCTCGGCGCTCGCTGATGCTGTAAATTTAGCTTGGTCAGTGGCAAGTCTGCAGCTATTTTCTTTGACAGCTCTCGGCGGACTGATTGACAGGGGAACTTGAAGGGCCGTACAGGAAGTTGTGGACCCGTACACAACCTGTCCAGCTATATGTGGACACATGATGCATACTTATGAGTGGCGTACATCATGATGTTCATTGATAGTAAAAGTAGTACACGCACAGCCCGGGGCTGGTATATTTAGGTAGGCTGCTTGTGCGGACTGATATAGGTGTGACTGCCTTGCCTCTTCTCTCTCATTTTCATCTCGAGCGCTAGAGTCGGCGCTCCCTCCAAAAACACATCAGGCTGCACAAAACATAACACTACTACTATGTCGATGCAATTTTACAAGTACTCGAGCAATGGGGTATCTGATTCTAGTGCATCAGGACCGGGGCACGTAAGTTCTCAATCTTCTGACCGTACGTCGCTACGTCTAAGAGTCGGCGCTTCAGCATTCGCTTGATGAGATGTTCCAGTGCATGTGGGATTGTGAAAATGGGACTAATTGCGATGCCTTGATTCGTGGCCACAGTCTGTCCGCTCATGTACGCGAGGTTCACGGAATTCATGGCCCAGACAAGACACGCGTCAAGTGCAAATGGAATCATTGTGAGCGCGAACTCCATAAATATTCACTCGCCAGACATGTGTTAGAGCACCATATGGGGGTTGTATATGACTGCGAGTGCGGCAAGGCGTTCTCGCGGCCAGACATTCTTAGTAGACACAAGAGAACCTGTCCAGGTCGGTAGCAGTAGTATGCAGATGGGGATTGGCAGTCTGACGTACGTCTTTAGAGGGGGGGATGTTGACGTAGCTACGCCGCTCGACTTGTCCATGCAATACAAGCCAGGCTGGTCTCGAGCCTAGATGGGAGTCTCTTAACATGGATAGACCCTAGCGTGTGCCTTGGCAGGCGATTCTTCCCTGATTCGTCGCAGTAAGCCTTGTGGTATTCACTACTATGTCATGACTTCAGTTAGTGCTTTTAGCGACTCGTGATCTGGGATGTACATACAACTGCCAATGTCACATAGAAGATACTGGCACCACCAAGATGATTCTAACTTGATTCTAACTTGGCTCGTTGCAGTGGGCATCTACTGAACATAAGTCCCGAGTTCATGGGTCGTGCATACCAGATTTTCGAGAGGAACATACGGACGGCCTGTCTCTGATGATGGGGAGAGTCTCCAATGTGTTTGTTAGTGCCACCCGTAGGTACCGTATCTGCGGTTCACAGACATATTCCACCAAGTAAGTATAGGGACATACACACGATAGGTGACCGAGAGCCGGCTCACAAACACAGAAGAATATGAAACCACAGCCAAAGCTAGATCAGGACATCACCGTCCGTCATCGTCCGACTGGTCCCCACGAATCTACAAAATAGTTACCAGGACGATATGCATTGATGAACGGCCGCTAACTAGGATCATCTGAAACCAGGGTCATGCTGTTAGAGGACGGATGCGAGTAAACGGCGAACTTGATGAACGTACAACAATACGTTCATGTTGGGCATACCGACACCGTGGCAGCCCACGCAAAAGATGCACTGTAGTCAGTTCTGTGGAGTCGATGCCACGGTGAGACATCAATTATCGCAGTCAGATACGACCTAACCCTTGATTGATATTCTTTGATACTCGATGAATATATAGCGCCCATCCATAGATAAGAGGGTAGATGAAACAGCGCCCAGCAGGAGAGATGAAATCCGAACCTGCTACGACCGCAGGAAGCTCAACTTTTGACTCTGAATTGTAAGCGCTCATTTCATATAGCTGCTGGCCACATTGTTCTTAATGAACTCATTAGCATCGTATTGGCCACCTTGACTCGGTCTGGGAACTCCAACGTGGGTGTGTGATAACAGTGATCGATCGATTAGCCGCTCGCTCTCTGCCTCGGCCCCATGCAGCATAACACATAATGTCATAAGGGTGGAAAGATATAACAAGGGCCTACTGATGAATTTGAAACTGATGCAAATCGCGCCACGCTAAATTCATCATGCATCACGTATAAGTGTTTTGGATAAGCACGGTGGCGGGAACTAGTGCGTGCTGCGCGTACTTGCCTTTGTATATCCATAAATTACAATTCGGAATCAATATCTTCATCTATGTCGTTCCTAGCCTTTTGTAGGGTAGGCATCTATATGCGGTGGATGGGTCCAACTACCAGACACGTTGCTGAGAGTTCAACGGAGATGAAGAAACTGTCCATATGGTCAAAAACGGACTTGGGCGCTGCACAGCTAGTCACGTGCTCAAGCTGTGAAGCGAACACGAGGATACAGCATGAATGATGCGGGACTTCCATCCATGACCCTGTGCATTTTACAAACCGTCCAATCCACCGCAGCTTCCATTTCGCAGGGGTGAGAGCGAAGTACCTGTGAGTAAACATTTGTATGATCCTTGAAGAACTGAAATTATACCGCATCCATCCGCGAACAAGAATGATGTCTTTCCCTGCCCCTGTGAAGCAAGAAATATCAACAAGAGCCCCTCAGCAGAAGATAGAGGGACACACCAGTATCGTCTTGTATGGCGCTTTACGCCTGTCTGGACTTAGAGAATGGCATGCAGAGTTGGGAAGGCCTCGCAAGATGAAGGCAGTGGAGGAGTGCCCACCATAGCACTGTCACCAGACAGCAAAAAAGTAACAAGCGGGAGTGAAGATGGCGCAGTTAGATTCTGACACGGGCAAGGTCATCAAAAAGTGGACGTGGCGCACAAGGGGATTGTGGTCTGTCTGCTGGAGTCCAAGTGGGGAGCGAGTCATGAGCGGATCATTCGACGGAACAGTCATGTTGAGAGCGGCGAAACCATCACTGCTAAGACCATTGAACTGCTCAGGCAGGGAACAACGGGCGCTTGCTGAAAGTCTGGGATGCCAAAACAGGCGAAATGCTCAAGACGGTTGAGGTGGGTGGTGTCAGCTGTTCTGAACATGGACCTTGTATGTATGGAAGCACGCCCGTCGCCGCCAAGGGAATTCGACACAGTCACCTGGGCAGAGCACAAAGCACGCAATTTCACCAGAATTTCGAATTCACTGTCTTCCAATTATCGCATTTTCGTAAGCGTATGATGCGACAAGACAACGCAACTAGTACGCGACCTCAACCTATCGGATCACCATCATGAAACCTAGATGAAATTTGCAGCCTTTTCTGTGAATGGAAAGTTGCTCGTCAACAACCACACTGTATACACGGCGAGCCCCGCCATTTCAAGATGCTCATCGAATACGCCAAGCGTGCAGATGTATGTGTCCTACAAGCTTGTATGTTTAAACAGTCCCTCTTGAGAAGTATGGCGTTAGTTATCTACCTCCCATGGGCGACGTGGGTCGGAGTGACCATCACAGCGCTGCACCAGTGGCACGTCAACGCACCCTCCTGAGTCCCTGGCGCTCCGATCCGAACGGAGCAACTGAGTACGATGCCCGGTCTCCGTCGCATACTCTCCCTCAGCTGGGTTCGGGTGGTACTTCGTATCTGGCATGCTACGCAGAGGAGAATCGAGATGCATCAGACAGCCAGTTGCGAGAGCCACACATAGTCGATGTCCCTTACACTGCGGCCAAACCTGTACGTATTTTTAATTTCTCGGTTCTTCTGATCACTCATTCGTTTCCATACAGAGGAAATATCACCCAAGAAAGAAGACAGCTACTGGTTCCCCTCGACCTCATACCGACGGAGTGTCATTGCAACAAGCCACGACATCTGCGGCTTCCCACTGCCACAATGGCGACTGGAACACCGTCGCATCTTGACCATACGAAAAGCCAGGTTCTGGACTCGTTTCTTGCTCTGGTTTGGTTGCATGTCTGTTCAACACAGACAGTCAACGTTAGTGATCGTCGGCATTTTATATCATATCATCTAATTTTCCATGGCCCCTCCACACTCACTCACGGTCAGTTCCTTTACTGTTCATCTTAACTAGCCTTAGCGAAGAGGTTGGTGCGACAGATTCGAAATCTGTTGCTCCTGAATTCATGGTGCACGTTCGAAACTTGCCGACGGCCCTTTTTCCATGATCACACCTTGGACATAAGGGGTAAATCCTTGGAGGGGAATCTCAAGGAAGACCCCTCTCAAGTTGTCAACCAGTCATGGCCAAGCGGGGACTACAACAGATTTGAAATTTGTTCCTAGACCCTGTGCTGGTTCCAAACCCGCCGACAAAATGTTTTTTGATACGTTCAAAATCCGTTTCTCTTGCAGGGCGCTGGTTCGATTAAAACTTGCTGATATCTTGTAGTTATCGGTCCCCTCTGCCCATCCAATTTTTAATTACCTTCGGGCTGCGTAAGGGCCTATTAGACACAGTGTTGGTATTTGGTTAGCATGTAATGCTACCTAGAGTCTGGGTTTGGCGCTTTTCACTGCTAGCGCGCGTTAACTTGGAGAAAGTGAATCAGAAATATCGCTTTGTTGTGTTGCCTCTAGACTGAGGCTAGATCTCTAGTATTGACCCTTCGATGATACTGACATAGTACTATTATTTTCCCGCCCACACCGTGCCGCAATAACTCTCGCTATGTAGTCGAGATACGAATTAAAGTTCTTAGGCGCTTATTTAGGGCGGCAATCAAGTTTTTTTGCCGAAATGGACGGCACGTTGTGGGGCATTGCTGTGTGAAACTTGGCAGTCTGGGACAAGTTGGCAAGGTGGCATGATGCTTAATTTGATCGCTCAGTAAACGTAACTGAGTGCTCCTCTCGACTGATTGGCAAGTGTGATCAACTCAGTTGCAGATGCTGTATACATAAATTAGACTATTGGTAGCTGAGGGGCAAGAGTATAAGTACGTTACTGATGCCCTTCACATCTCGCTAGGCCACTCCTCACTCAGATATTCCAGCTACACAAAGCCCACAGTTCTCCTCGATCATACCATGTCGAACCATTTTTATAACGGATCGTCTGATTCCTCCACTGCACCAGTATCTGTAGGTCTAAATAATCAATATTATGACCGCGCATCGCTGCATCTAATCAGCACTTTCAGGTTGCCCATTCTCCCGAAGAGATGTTCCAGTGTATGTGGGGTTATCCGCACGGGTTGCACTGCAACTACTTGATTCGTGGCATCAATCTGTCTGCTCACTTACATGACATTCACGGAATTCACGGGAAAGGGAGCGCACGCGCCGAGTGCAAATGGGAACACTGTGGTCAGGAGTTCAACATTGAGAGCCTCTACCAGCATGTGGAAGAGATCCATATGGGGATTGTATACTTCTGCGACTGCGGGAGCAAGTTCCTGCGCAGGGACACTCTTAGTAGTCATAAGGAGAATTGCTCGGGTCAGCAGCGCGTGGATGGGGGGCATTTCAACATGGACAAACGCCAGGACATTCCCAGATGATGGTTACTTTAACTCGTTTTGTCGTACTTATTCACTGTCATGTCTGCGGTTAGTGCTTCTACGGACTTATGATTCGATGTAACATACCAGCACCAATGTCTTGTCTACACGTTTATTTACTCCTGTGGAATAAATCTCCAAATATGAAACCAGAATTCGCAACTCAATCTCACATCTAAAACACGAGGAGTGAAGTAGAGGCAGGGCTTAGTTAGGGACTTGGCCTCGTGTCTGTGCAGCGGGAGTGCGACTCCATCGATAAATATCCAGAGCTCCATAGCCTGATAGGGTGTCACCGTCGATAAATTGTTGTCTTTCGGCTGCCAAGCGATCTGTTGGTTTAGGCGGGCGCATGAGGTCAACAAAAGAGATCTCAACTCCTCTGATCCGGAACGGCTCAATCTGTACGTACTAATGCAATAAGTCCGAGTGTATGTTCATGGTTGTGTTACAAACCGAATGTTTATGACCTTTAATCAAGCCAAAAATCGACCCTGTCCACTGTGCGCAACTGCCAGCGGCCCAAAATTTTCCTTGCAGAATTTTTGGAAGCACAGAGGCCTAATGGTCTCTAATGGAGGAAATCCCCGTAGGATGTTGCTATTCCTCGCTCCTCCGTGAGGCACTGTAAAAAGACGCGTTTAAGGGTCACATTCCAATCAAGCGGGGCAACGTGTTTGACATTGTACGTTGACCAGCGTACAATAGTGCAGGGGCGCATGACACTAATGGAACCGTCAAGGAACACATGTGTGATGACCTAGGTGCAGGCTTAAAAAGGTAGGGCACTAAACCTCATACAGTCCCGGGTGTCTGGTAAGAGAGGATAATGGTGCGAAGTATATCGGATCGCTCAGTACACGCACCCCTACGAAAATGGAACAGGAAACCCACAATCCGTTCAATGACTCCGGTGCTCAATTTAAACACTGTCAAGCTCCACCAAAACGGCGAAAAAGTAACGCATCTTATCATTCCAAGCGCCACGTTCGTTCGTTGCGAGCTTTACAGACGACGTATGATGGGCTTGAAAGACCATATTCTTCGTTTATGTATTTGAAACATATCAGTGAATGATGGTGTTGTGGGACCACCGCAATCGAATTCTATATGAGGCAAGCCGTTGACAGACGCGTATTACTATTATGACGGGAGGACAAGCATCGCGGGGTCATAGTAGCAACACCTTGCATCGCTTGGATCACTGGTGAGCCGTGGATCGACACACACGCCGAGAGTGAGTGTTTGATTGATGTTGATTCCGCGCCAACGAAGGTACTACACGGTAGGGTTCAAAGTTCACGGTGAGCGTCCACCGTAACGGATGTTAAAAATATGGTAGTGACTATCATGACGGACCTTCATCCGATCGATACTTGCGGTAGGTATCGTGTCCGGCTCAGAGCTGGGAGTGTAAGTTATAACTGTAACAAGTATGCGTGGGACACGGAGGCGGGCAGGATGACTAACATATCGGAGGTTTGGACATTTTACCTTTTGCAAAATTTCAGTCAAAAGCAGATTTAGACCTGGCTAGAGCATTCTAGACCTAGCTGTAAGTAGTTAAGACTGTCGTCCCTTAACAGTTACGCCCAGACCGTTAGGCCAAAAGGCAGTGATAATCAAAGCTCAAGCTTGATTATCTCGGACAGTATTTATGTTGATTATGGGAACTCAGGTAAGCAACGAGCTTACACTAGCCTGGAACGCTCTGGAGCGCTCTAGATTACATTTCGAATGTGATTTCACTAGTACTAGTGGCAAAATGTCGAAACCCCCGCGCGCGTCCTCGCGCGTGCTGTCCGGGGGTCTGTCATGTGATTGGGAAAATGTTACCTCTGTGTGGTTTCAATGACAGCAATTGCAAGCTCGAGAGCACGAACCTCGAAGGTGCTCCATGAAATTCTGGGATCGTGCTTCTTTCGTTCAAGTTCGCACATCCCACCGTGAATATTCAATAACGTCAATAGAAGCAACAGAACCATACATCCATCCATCGACCACCAGTGGAACTTGTACAACAAATCTCCTTGCTCATCGTCAAACGACATGCCAGACTGTCCAGTATCTTCCCAGTCTTATGTGGATATGACATCATTTCGATGTTGCCAGCCTTCGAGTCTTCGACACACCTCAGTTGATCAACAGAACCCGCATATACATCAACGGTGACTATAATTGGATCATCCCAATCAGACAGCCCACCCCGAAATTCCTATCCTGAGCAAATCTTGAGCCCCCTGAAATGGACTCCGACATCATGATTATTACAAGTACTACTATTCGAACTTTGCATTATTCTAGTACTAGTCCAAAGTCCGACGGGGCGAGGGTTCGCGCCCAACTTTGAACTCTCCCGTCCTTCGAGTTCAGTCGTCAACCTCCTCCCGCCAATCCATAATCTTACTCACACGTCACATACCTGTCCAATAAAACCAGTTCATTTATTAATTACCCAAACTCTCGTGCAAGCGAGTACTACCGGCCATCCAGCGCCCATACCCACATACAACCCTAGTCCCAAGTCCTTCACATCCCTCCAGCCCCTCTTGATACGCAAACAAATCGTGTCTCAAATCCTCTAACGAGCAAGGTCATCTACAGCACCAACAGTTTACAAAAGCCTCCGCATCCACGGGAGGGCTCTCCCTACATCCGCCCTCCCAGCATCCACCCGCAGGATCTCACCACAAATGGCCCGCGCCAACGCCCGCGTTCGCGTGAAACAAATACAACTCTTTAGCAACAGTTAGAAAACATGGGCCCTATCCAGTCTGTGCCGCTCAGCCAATACTCATCGCCATCAGCTCGACAGCAGGCATCTTCGTGCTTGTCTTCTTCATCAGATACGTCAGTGTTTGGAATATGGGCACGCCAGGTGGAGCCTCGCGGAGGGTTATACTCACCTACCGCTTCCACTGTCATGGCATGATACGCTGAAGGGACAGCAGAAGATAATGTGGTGTACATTGGGAGTATTATTTCGGATGATGCCAGCAGCTGGCATGTCTCCCCACCACGCACATTTTTTCATTCCGTGCTCCCGTGTTCATCCCACAAGGTAGACTTCACCATCACTCCACATCCAGCTTATGAAGGCAGTCCCAGGATATTTCAGCGTGGCGCGACTGCAAAGCGATACGCTGACTGCCAACAGCTCTTCAATCCCTTGTGTCCGCATGACTCGACGCCGTTGAAAGAATGAGAATTTGTTCCTGTCTTGAATTGCACACCGGGATCTTGACACTTAGCGATGGACACCCTTGCCGCTGGCTGCAGCGGGTTCTCACATGGGATTCAGTCGTTGGACTGATAAGACAGGCAGGTGTTTTCTTACGATCCTCTTTAGACACTCTTGTTTGTTTACAAGACACGCATGAAATAGTCACAGTGATAATAAGGTCCCACTAAAGACCATAACAAAAGTGACATCGAGCGTTTCAAATTCCTTGGATCTGATGTAGACATCTTGTAAGTCGGCGTCTCCTTTGTTCCACGATGGCGTCATCTCATGCATCTAGACTCCAGAGGATGCACGCAGTCGATGAACTCATTGTTTAGTGAAAGTGCGAACGATGGAGTTCTAATCGTGTGCCCTGGGGTGCACAGAACGCACATGCTTAACGTATGAGAAATTAGGTTATCCATCCTTGATTCCATAATCTAGAGCCATAATAACTTGCACACTGTCCTTCAAAGAACGAAAACTTTCAAGGTGCGTCTGCTACTTGAAGTCCATCGATTTCGAAGACTATTATCCACCAACAACCCAGTCTTAGCCATTAGCTGGTGTCACTGGCATTGTCAGGGACGTTCAATATGTCCTCAATAGAATGTAACTCTGGAATGACAGTAGACTGGATTTCTTTTCAAAAAATTGACGCAAGTCGAGATAGGCTGTGGAGCAGCATGATACGTGGAACATACCCGACCTCAATCCACTTGAATCTGACCACGGGTACTTGGGATCTGAGGTACATCAAGCTCGCCACCGTCTCGACTGTCTTAGGGTGACCGGCTTGCTTCAAACATGTATACGCCATACCAGAAAAACCCACATTGCTTGATCATACAACCATTTCGTACAGTTACACCTCCTGAACTACTTCGACAGACCATTCAAGAAAACCGCATTCACAGCCAAGACACCTCAGCTCCACTCCAAACCGAAACATCTACGTTCAAGTGTTGCATTGCCTAACATTATGGTCTTGCTGAAGACAAGTAGATCAGTGAGATTACTGCCACAACATGACAGTCAGACATACGCAGGCGATGATTTAGAGCGATTTCAAGAACAGTATTGATTAACTCCGCTTTCGCCAAAGATTTTTTGTCCTTCCGCTGCAAGCGTTCAAACAGTAACTTCGCCCTCCGAGTGGGCGATTTTCCTTTAGAAGTGTAGACAGAAGTCTCTATGGCTTCTTGATACGCCTGAAAGGCAGCGCTCACAGCGTCCTTGACAGCAGCTGCATGTGGAGACGCAATATACTGCTCAAGAGCGACATCAACAGGGTAAACAGACACCTGCTGCTGATAGCGCTGCTTGTCGAAAATGTAGAAAGAGTGTTCGAATATAATGACAGCAGCTAAATGATCAATAATAAGCAGATTCATTACAATACACTAGCCTCAAAATTCACCAGAACTGAGCTGAACAATGTTCTCCAAGGGTGATGAGCCAGAGGCCTGGCACATTCGCAAGATCAGAAATGTATGTACAATCTGCAACCAATTGAACATACCACAGAAAGTAACCTAGACCGTATCTTTGCACAACTCTCTAGAGGAAGCTGGTCCAAACATGATAGAAAGCTGAAAATCGTCCACCTTTGCTGAGGACCGATACACTCACACCCTACCAATATGTAACATCTTCGGTCAGCATGACCCGAAGTCAAAAGAAGGATAAAGAAACTAACGTCCTATTGACGGATCAGCGATGTCGTTCGCGAGCAAGGCTCTAAACTCACTATCTATTGAGGGATGCGCGATTTCGGTGGTAAGCAAAACTTGAGCTGACGGAGGATCAACACACTGACATCCTATCAGTAGATGAGCAGTCCCATTGGTGAGCAAAGCCAGAGCTCGAATGAGGATGAAGAGACTCACGGACTGTCAATGGATCAGTGATGTCGTTAGTTAGCAAGGCTTGAGCTCGATGGCAGATGAACAAACTCACACTCTGTTAACAGGCATCAACAATTTCATTAGTCAGTCAGATGTTCCAATTCGGCTGTGGATCGATGTGCTTACGCCCTGTGAACGGATGGGCGATGTCTTCAGTTAGTACGGCTCGAGCTCGATAATTGATCGACCAACTCACAACCTGTTAACGGAGCAGCAATGTTATGTTTTCGGTCAGTATGGCGTGAGGGCGACGGTGAATCAATACACTCACACCCTGACAATGGATCAATGATTGCATCGATGAGGAAGGAGGTTGACAGATGATGATCACACTCACAAGCTGTCGACGGATCGACAATTTCTTCAGTCAGTGGCTCAAGGTCGGTAGAGGATCAATGTACCGACCTCCTGCCGACAGATCATCAATTGCTTTGGTCAGGGATGCTTGAACTCAACGAGGGATCAATGCGCTTACGTCCTATCAACGGATGGGCAACGACTTTATTCAGTAAGGCTCGGGTGTAATGGAGGAACAACACACTCACTTGCTGTGAACAAATTGGCAGTTGCAATGGTGAGGAAGGCTCGAAGCCACTGGGTAAAGAATACACTCACAACCTGTAAGCAGACCGGAAAAGTTTTCGGTGAGCAAGGCTTGAGCCACGGGCGATCGACACACTCACAATCTATCAGCAGGTCGGTAGTCTTATTGGTGAGCGAGGCTCGCCGTCAATGCAGAATGAACACTCACCCGCTAACGGATGAGCAATGTCTTCGGTCAGGAAGGCTCGAGCTCAATAGACGATCAACACACTCACAGTCTGCAATTGACTTTGATCAGCATGGCTCGAACTCAAAGGAGGATCAACACACTCACATCCTGCGAACGGTGGGCAATGATTTCGATCAGCATGGATCGAGCTCGCAGGATCAACACTCACACGCTGCGCATAGCGGGCAATAGCTTCGATCAGCATGGCTCGAGCTCGGAGGATCAACACACTCACACGCTGCGAATAGCGGGCAACGACTTCGATCAGCATGCCTCGAGCTCAAGGGAGGATCAACACACTCACAGCCTGCGAACAGTGGGCAACGACTTCGATCAGCATGGCTGGAGCTCGAAGGAGGATCGGCACACTCACAACCTGCAAACAGTGGGCAGGGACTTCGATCAGCATGGCTGGAGCTCGAAGGAGGATCGACACACTCACAGGCTGCAAACAGTGGGCAACGACTTCGATCAGCATGGCTGGAGCTCGAAGGAGGATCGACACACTCACAAGCTGCAAACAGTGGGCAACGACTTCGATCAGCATGGCTGGAGCTCGAAGGAGGATCGACACACTCACAGCCTGCAAACAGTGGGCAGCGACTTCGATCAGCATGGCTGGAGCTCGAAGGAGGATCGACACACTCACAAGCTGCAAACAGTGGGCAGGGACTTCGATCAGCATGGCTGGAGCTCGAAGGAGGATCGACACACTCACAGGCTGCAAACAGTGGGCAGCGAATTCGATCAGCATGGCTGGAGCTCGAAGGAGGATCGACACACTCACAGGCTGCAAACAGTGGGCAGCGAATTCGATCAGCATGGCTGGAGCTCGAAGGAGGATCGACACACTCACAGGCTGCAAACAGTGGGCAGGGACTTCGATCAGCATGGCTGGAGCTCGAAGGAGGATCGACACACTCACAAGCTGCAAACAGTGGGCAGCGAATTCGATCAGCATGGCTGGAGCTCGAAGGAGGATCGACACACTCACAGCCTGCAAACAGTGGGCAGCGAATTCGATCAGCATGGCTGGAGCTCGAAGGAGGATCGACACACTCACAAGCTGCAAACAGTGGGCAACGACTTCGGTCAGCATGGCTGGAGCTCGAAGGAGGATCGACACACTCACAGCCTGCAAACAGTGGGCAGCGACTTCGATCAGCATGTCTGGAGCTCGAAGGAGGACCGACACACTCACAGCCTGCAAACAGTGGGCAGCGACTTCGATCAGCATGGCTGGAGCTCGAAGGAGGATCGACACACTCACAAGCTGCAAACAGTGGGCAGGGACTTCGATCAGCATGGCTGGAGCTCGAAGGAGGATCGACACACTCACAAGCTGCAAACAGTGGGCAGCGACTTCGATCAGCATGGCTGGAGCTCGAAGGAGGATCGACACACTCACAGCCTGCGAACAGTGTATAATGCCTTTGATCAGCATGCCACAGTGGATCAAAACAGACGTACTGCCTGCAGGTAAACGCTAACGTAAATGAGTGCAACCTTTTAACTTTCTGATACTCTTACAGAAATATGTGGAAACCAGGCGCACAATTTCCTTATCATTATGTCCTCATAACCCTCAGATGATGTTGTCTCAGCAGAGTGAAAATGTACCAGGAGTGTTCTGGATGATATCAGTCACCAACGCTCGTGGCAGGTACACGAGACAGTGGGTGTTTACCTCTTAAGTGCATCTTTCATGCAGAGCTCCAAGTTGGTCTGCTGGGTTGAGACGAACAATTGCTTCACCACTTCATCATCCAGAGTTCCAGCTGTGCATTCGATGAGTGGCCCGCAATCTGCATCATCCTTGTCCATATCTGATAGACCAACGGTCATCATATATCAGATTCATAAGTCGACAATCAACAGCTTACTTGGAAGGCATACATGGCATTTTGGAGGGTGTCGAATATCCTTGGAATGGTATAGAAACTTCAATTGTGACCCAATCGCAAATGACTCTTCGGCGTGCTTTGGCGCCAGTTCTTCAGCCTCTTCCATCGATGCTCCTTGCGATTTCAGCTCTGAGTATGCGGTGTCGTAGAGGGCATCAAATTTAGTAAACACTACTATCAACGGGACTGAGGATTGTGAATCAGTTGATCATCACCGATAATCAGATATAGAAGCTTACTGCTTCCAGTGTCGCATTGAGAGAAAAATTTGACTTCGGCTTGGGTGAACGACCTGCTTGCCTCGTCCATCGGGATGCAGTACCTGGGTTAGAAACGTGAGGTAGCGCATGTCGCAATTGATCGACTATAATTACCAGATAGCATGGAGTTTATCCCTTAATCTGATTTCCTTTGAACGGCCCGCGATAAATGCCTTCACCTTGTTGAATTCGGATTCGCCGCCTGCTTCAAACCCGCGTGAATCGTGAAAGACGAAACCTGGATTGTTTCGAAACACCATCTCATTCTCGATATCGTGCTCTCCGCGCTGAGAACGCATCAGTTCATGTTACCAGCTATTGAAAGTACATGCCACCTCTGTGGAAGCCGTCAAAACCGTGGCATCGATCTGATGTCCATCGCTCAGTCATCACTACCATCCTCCTACTAGCATCGTGATGGGCCCACCTTTTTCCCGGTGCTGTTGTATATTTCTGGATTCTCGCGTGTATTGCAAACTCTCTTGAGGATGGTAGTTTTTCCTGCATTCGCTCTTCCTATAACGAGGATTCGAAAGCGACCGATTTTCTCTTTTATCTTTGAAGCATCCATGAGGGAAGGCAAATGTGATGGAGAAACGTTGGTGTAGCCTTATAATGGTTGCAGTGTGTGAACTCGGTCACCGAATGCCCAAGTTGAAGTCAGCGGCCTATCTAGATTCAGTGGGCAATGGGTTATGGTCCTACCACATGAGGCATACACGAAGAGTTGCTATAAATTAGACGCGGATGTGGCTTTGATAATTCGAAATATCTGTGTTAGGTCACAAGGATCCAAAAGAGTGGGCAACGTGGACTCGGACTGTCTAAGCACCTGAGTGCTAGCTATCGATCGAAGCAATCGGTATCTCGATCTCAGGTCACAGGGTTCGTGCCCAAGGCCCTAATTGGTCAAAAAGGGATTGGTCAGGAGCGCGCGCGCGATTACGCTGCATCGTCGGGGACTTCGTCAAAGTCCAACTCATCAATTCGAAAGCCACTGCCAGATCCCCCGCATCGACTCTGTGTTCCATCCGAACCGTTCGTCGTGGACAGTGAATCGAAGACGGTTTCCCTTTGTGACCCGCGTATGCAACTATATTTAATGGCTGTCGACGCTAGCACAGACCGTGTTCAACCTTCGAAAGGATCCCTTTCAACTCACAGTCAATTGTACACAGCGTTATTGAGGACGAGAACGTGAAGAGATACGATATGTCTATTTGCAGAGACGAACGGAGGACAAGACTGTGTTGATATTGTTTTCCCGAGTTGCTACTGTAGACACAGTATAATATTGTCGAAGAGCCGACCGACGGGGTACCCTTGGTTCTGATGTGACCAGTTGAACGGTGACAGTCAGGTGCTCTGTGACAGTGTCGTAATAGACTGCCCATTCTGACTCCGCAAACTGGGGTTGCCTTTGTTTTCACGACGCTCTTGGTCATCCTCAATCATTGCATGTTGTGGTATCTGTTGTTTACGCTAGATGGAATACACTGGATCCGACATTTTACCCGTTTGTGCTGTCATTAATTTTGACATGTGCATAAGAGATCTTCGGTGCTTGAGCAGTGAGCTCGGGGATGAACGAAAGAGAGATGCTCGCTCTTGACTTTCATTCATCATCAAAATGGTAGGTGTTCACAATGTGACGAAACGAATTGACACTTTCCGAGGGTCGAGAACGCAACAAGTATCGGACTGGGGGGACCGGGAAGGGGTAGAAATTCTGACGGCTCACGAGAAAATAAATCAAAACCAGCGAACGAAGGACCAAAAAAAGGTATCAATGGGGCTGTCAGTCCTGCAGGGCTCAGTGTGGGCCCACCTAGAGGATAGAAACAGCAATTAACAATCCCGTTGACAATTGAGCAAGACAATCTGACTTACTTTTAACGCCCTGACTGTAAACGCCTACGCACACATTCTTCGACATCATTCCGAAGCTCTGCCTCGTCAATTGTCTTTGAAGAGCGCACATTCTTCAACTTCGCAAGCATGGCGTCCTTACAAACGATGTAGACCCTCTGAGGAGTGAGGCTCTTGTCCTCAAGGTTCTTCCGCATATTCTCGTTCGTTTTGTTGATGAAGCTCCTCCGTTCTTCAGATTTGATTTGCAAAAAACGAGAACGTGTCTCGTCATCAGTGTCAAGATCACAAGGGTCGAAACCTGGCATCCTGTCGTTCGCCATGTTGTTAATGTGCTGATCTGACTTGGAGCGAACGATGAATGCCTCAACGGTACTGGACTGCTGGCAGGCACTGAGAATGGCGAGGTCCGATTCCAAGAAACGGTTGTCGATGAGGACGATGATGCAGTCGAAGACGTAGAGTCCCATGTCGTTGAAATACTGCCAATCAGGCACATTTGGTGTGCCTGCTCCGGGAACGTCATACCAAATGATCCGGGAGTTTGGACGTGGATCAGGATAACTTGTGACGGTGTCGGTAGTTTCGACAATCCCCGTACGAGCGGCAAAAGGATTATCATTGGACAAGCCACGGACGGCATTAATGAAGGATGACTTCCCAGCTCCAGCAGAGCCAACAACAGCGAGGTGAATGAAGTTTGAGCTGTAACCATAGCGGGCTTTCATCTGAGTAATTTCTTGATCTGATGGGCGGCGCTCGGGGCGAACTCCTTCAAACCATTTGCGCTCAGTCGCAAGCCTTGCTTCATCTGCTCTGCGAACAGCTTCTTCAGCCTCGTACAACGCTCGTTCCAGTTCTTCCTGGCGTCTCCTCGCAATTTCCAATGCTTCATCCGCCTCATGCCTGGCTCTTTCCGCAGCTTCGGCCCGTTCTCGTGATGATTTGGCCTCTTCTTGGGCCGTCCTAGATCTGCTTTCCGCAGCTTCGGCTTGTTCCCGTGATGATGTGGCCTCTTCTTGGGCCGTCCTAGATCTGCTTTCCGCAGCTCCGGCTTGTTCCTGTGATGATGTGGCCTCTTCTTGGGCCCTCCTAGCTCTGCTTTCCGCCTCATTTGCCTTGTGCCACGCCTTTTCCGCTTCCTGCCTCGCAGCATGCGCTTGTGCTTCTAGTTCCTTTGCCCTCTGTTCTGCTCTACATTGCTTCCATCTTGCAGTACCCGGAATGAAACTTAGGTGATCAATTGCAGTATGGACTGCAAAAGGGAGTGCTGAAGCAACTGGGCCCATGCAGTGCAAATAAATGGGGGAAAGCTTGACGTTCAGAAGGGTTGCGTGGAATGTGTTCTCCGTGTACGTCCGATACGACCTAGACGAGGATCAATCAATTGTGCGGTACAGAGCTTCAAGATTCGCTCACCTCTGTATGGATTGCAGTAGTGCAAATGCAGCATCCAAGTGGTAAGAATTCTGCAGGGAAGACAAGAGACAGACAAGGGCAAGCAGGGATCTTATACTTATCCAGATGGAAGCCAGGCGAGCATGAGATGGACCTAATAGCCAGTTAAATGTCACATAGCTTCTAATGCGTTGCGCCAAGTGCATGTGAAGGGCAGGATAGAAGTATCCTTTAAATCTTTGCGTCGACGCCACTAGTGCCCTTTCAAATTTTCAAAATTAAACACTGCCCTATCAACCTCTGCGTCAACAACCCTCCAGAGTTGAAAAGGGTACGCGCTCGTACAAGGACACCGTGCTTCTTTTAGGGACCAGCTGTTGGGTGCTACTAGGTACGGATCCTGTAACCTGAGATCGAGATACTGACTGCCCTGGTCCAGGCATCTGCATGCACGTTGTCCACTCTTACGGATCCTTGTGACTCAACATAGATATTCCGTCGCTTCTGAATGATCAAAGCCACTGCATTGACGTCTGACTCCTGCAGTCTCTCAACCCCCTAGTCAGTACGTAGGAGACCGTGCTAATTTCGTGCTATCTTGGGCAATCGATGATCACCTAGCATCTCGTGTGAGTCGCGTGTGATCAATCACTATCGAGTTATGGATAGGACATCTATCTGCAGCTACAGCCTACTTGTCGTGTGACTTCGTCAAAAACGTAGTACCAGGCGGGGAGGCCAAGCAGGTATTAGAAGGTGAAGTAGTTCAAACGTTCATCGATCAGGCCAGTAATATGATGTACCAGCTAATCGTGCTTCCTTCTCTCATTAAACCGAATCAGGCACGGTATGCTTCCATACACCTCGACCAATCCAAAGCCTTATGACCAACAGTCGACACAAACACACCGTTCGACTCACATGTCTTCCATTTCATAACGAGCTGAGCGTGCGCGTGAATAGCTAGTCTGGGTGCTACACGAGGATACCTCCCTTCTTTGAAGTTCTGCGTAGCTGACGCATTAATAGCCTACACTCGGCATCCACCGTGACGGAGAGTCTTCCCTAACTCAAATCAGGAGCATGGCTAGTTTCTTTGACGCTTTGACGCCAGTTTATCCTCTTTACATCTCTGGTACAAGTTACTTCATCCGAGTCAACGAAATCATCAATCTCACTGAATTCGAATATATCAAATAGGTGTTATCGTTGTGCGTTTCCCTAGAAACCATGGACAGCTCTTCGATCATTTCCAGACTCGAACATCCCGCGCGTGACGGCCCTGCTAACTTGTCTAAGTGCTTTGCAGTGTGCACCTTCACAGCCAACATTTGCTTTGATTCATTCGAGCGACACTGTTATATCATGACGCCGGGTGGCGTTATTTATATCTAGCTCGAACGCTATCATCATACAACCACCAATTTCACTACTCACCTACTACCCCCCATTCTCTACCAATATGACCATAATCTCAAATGATCCCACTTGGTGGCCGGTTATTAATTATCTTCGTTTTGAAAGCTATTTTGCAGGTTCGTGTGCAGCAGTCGGATGTTGTCGCCGATGTCTCAATCTAACCTTGACTGCGGTTTCGCAGTTGGCGCCTTTGCTGGAGTAATGTATGATTGGGGTGAGCATGATAATATTAAAGGACTGCTGATAGCCTACAAGTATTTTCAGCACTTACATTCGGACAAGAGGTGTGTTGATGCTATCAGTACCGAAGCAGCCATTTCGCTAAGAATGGTTTTATAGGTCGAGCTGGTCTGGGTGAGCAGAGTCTCATATCAGAGGAACACAAATGAAAATACACTTAATCCCAGAGGCAACGCTGGTCCCTAATGACGATTATGTATCTCGGTGTATGTAGCTTGCCTGTCATGATTGTCATATTGTGCTGACTTGAAAATATCCCAGGTGCGCTACCTTGGAATTTTATATGCTGCGTATGTTCGGAAGGTCAAACAATCGGTGTTGTGCTAATCGCCTATCTCTCATAATCAGCCTGAGCACGTCTCCTTAGTACATTCGCTGTCTTTGCTTCTTCTGACCAATGACATCTAGGCAGTGTTCAGACTATCTCGCTGACAGATACAGTGAGTCTCCTGTACAGATGTATGCTATTCCCCTCCAATTAACAGTGGCGCCGTGTAGGGGTGGGTGTGGCTCCTTACTAACTTCTCGGTTTACTAATGACTGCCACACTATACTGCCACAGATGTGAGTCTGTTTGGAGTGTGTGCTACCCGAGGCTGGTCACTGACTGGATTTGTCAGGCTTAATCATATACATCGGACGAAGTTGGACAAGTGCTGTGGTATCTACAATGTTGTCGGGTGAGCTTGGCACTTGCGAGACCTCAGTGACGTTGACCAGACTGAAACATGGTGCAAGTCATCATCATCACTCGGTTACATGCCATGTATCAACGATTCAGAATAGTCCTGATTTTCTTCATTGTCACCTTCCTGGCTAGCAACATTTTCGTCGGAGTGGTAGCCGTAATGATGACGATACATACTTCAGGGGGTACGCTTAATTGTCAATGTCAAAAAATATGCATCTCATCGATGAATACCAGAGGAACTCATTCTCTCTGGCACTTATCAGTGCTCGATTGGCGATCCGGAATATGTCACACATCTGTTTGTCATTGGTTGGATAGTCTCCACTGTGTGGGAGGTCCTCGCACTGTTTCTTACAGTCTGGATTGCGGTAAAACACTTCCGTGAACTGCGACAACATTCGGAAGGAGGGATTTTCAGGGACATTTTCACGGCGTTGATCGAAACTCACATGCTTTACTTTACGAGGTGAGTTCATGCTGTGAATATGGGTTTTCGTTTCCGCTAAAGGATCGGACATGCTAGCTTTGTTGCTGTTTCTTGCTTCACCCTCGTTCTTGAATTGTCTCCAACACTCTTAACGGTATGTCAATTTTTCACTTACCTCTACATACGACCATGGTTCACCATTGCTACAGAGTTTTTCTCTGGGCACTCAGATTTATGTTGGGCTTCTTCAGATTGCGAGGGTGGTGCAGATGCCTGTGCTGGGATCCCGCCTGATCCTTGGTGTTAGAGAATATCACGCCAAGCTCGTGACCGACTCCGATGCAGCACCTGGCATGACCTCAATCGTTTTCCAGGAGCGCGTGCATATATTGACTGGCAATGGTGTGTAACACGGGAGATGTTAACGGTTGTCTGGTGCTCTGTAAGGAGCAGGGAATTTTCTTTTTAGTCTCTATTCCAAGCCTCGTTACAGTACTTATATGGTTATTTAGTGTCCCGAAGTGGATTTCAAGGAGACATAGGTCTGGGCAAAATTTTCGTCGCAGTATGTATTCGGCGTTACCAATAAATTTTTGAGCGCAATAAATGGAAACTATGAGGAAATGCTGGTCCATTTGATTCAAACCACTGAAGAACTCGTTTGTGAGCATGACGTCCAAACAATTATATTCGTTCATCCCTAAACATTCCAATGCGCCATCCCCCTTTTATCCCTCGCCATGATCGCCTGTTTTACTGCACCATCCACTCAAGGAAACCCTCCCTCGATGTTTGTACGATGGAGGTCGAACCCACACCTACATGGAAGCCAGGACCACCGCGCTCACCATGACAAGACCTATAACAGGCAGTCACACGTCAAGTACTGCGCCTTGTTTTTGTATCCAACGTCAGTGAACTGATTCGGATGCGGCAGTGCAAGCGTTCCTTTGTTCTATGTTCGACTTCCAGATCAAGTTGCACGGGTTCATGACCATCCCTTCGTTACATGTAACCTTATTCATTATAGGGATACGTACATCAGCCAATGACTTTGTTCTTTTCCTCCTCTGAACCTTCTTCGGACCACGTCGACGTTTAACGGGCACACATTCTTCAACTGGCAATGAAGGCTGACGTTTCACGGGCGCAATTTCTTCTTTAGCTGGCAGCAAAGGAGCTACGACCTCAGATAACTCGTTTGAAGATGAGGATACATATTCTACTGCCTGAGATGTTGACCAGCATCCAAACCCCACCGCTGGTTGCCTGTAGGTCCTGCTTCTTCAGAATCCTCGAACATTCTGGAAGCTGTCAGCAGGATAGCTTATCATGAGGTTAGCCCAAGCCATTTTCAACAGCTCGCTGTTGTTCCATTCCTCATTCTGAGTTTGGTGGCTTTTTTTGAAATCACCGGCCTTTCGACGTGCAACGAGAGTGAAAGCGTGCGCCAAAGGCAAGCCATTTTTCGACTTGACCAGAAGCACCAGGAATATTCTCAGAGAACCAACTGTATGCAGCTCGTGAGATGAGATACCGCTACAAAATGGTAATCCGTATGCATTCACACCATCTAGGTTCTTTGATCGCAAGATGTAGTTTATCACGGGATATGCCTCCGCACCCCACTGGTTCAAGTCAGAACTGTCAAGGAGCTTCTGAAGCAAAAGAATACTGTAAATGTATCTCATGAGTCGAAGGACGGATGGGGCATTTAAGGCGGAGTGCACAGTAACACCAGTCCTGACGCGGCATACAAGTAGGCCTTGATGCGGCATAGGTAAGTGTGGAGGTTGATATTAGCACGGAGACTGAGAAGATGCTGGGGAGAACTTATTGTGGTATGAATGGTGCTTGACCCAGTCTGAACGAGGCCCAACATGGCATGGCTGGGGCTTGACTTAGTAGTGCAGAATACAGACTCGGTAGTTGCATCAGACTTGACAAGGTGGGGCCGAGGCTTGACAAAGTGAGACAATGCTTCACACTGCTTCTGAGAACTAAAATTAGAACAATGATTAGAGGCAATACAAGACAAACACAAGATGCACACTGCATTATTCCCGAGTATAGTACGAACATGGAGGACAAGCACTGTAAAGGTGAGAAGTGAAATGTAGCACCTCAGGACCTGTACGCAGATGGCGGTCGTTCATATGCATATCTCGATCATTAGGCCTTAGGGAGGATTCAAAGCGTTTGGAATTCATATGAGATGGTGTTCGAACATGATCTGTACCCTAGTAGAATTTGTGACAGTTGCACCTGGCCCTGTGACCTGCAGTGGCAGTGATGTGCACTGCCACAAAAAATATTGTGGATTTGGCGTAGGTATCGCGCTCACCATCAACGCGTCAATCATGGCGTCTTCGTCTTCGTCCACGGTGCCTTCACATCCTGTCGTATTTACGACCCAGACGCCCTATGCACTCCCTTCCCAAAAATTTATGATCCCATTGGACTGGAAACGCTACCAGCTCTCCCAGCTCATCAACAAAGCACTCGACCTCCCCAAGCCTATTCCATTCGACTTCCTTGTCCATGGCGAGATCCTCAGAACGTCCCTATTGGAATGGCGCGCAGAGAAGGGTGTCGGGGAGGTGAGAAAGTGACTAAGTTGGTTTGAGAGAGAGACTGACGTCGTGGTAGGAGGATACGTTAGAAATCGAGTATTTTGAAAGTGTTATGCCTCCTCAACGCATATCTGAGCTTCCCCACGAGGACTGGGTGTCTTCGGTATCATGTCGAATACCTCAGTATGTTGCATCACTTCGCAATCCACCCGCTTAACCTTAAATTATCACCCCAGGCATTTCGTAACATCATCATATGACGGTCACCTACGTCTCTTCGACTATTCTCAAAAACCCCTCCTCGATATCTCCGTGCACCAAGCACCCGTCACTTCTGTCTGCGTGGTACCATCACCGTCAACGGAAACCGAGTCTCACATTCTAGCAAGTTCGTCGCATGACCTCACCGCGTGTCTCACCCGCATATTTCTGGGCTCTGAGGGTCCAAGTGCATCCACCGTGACTTCTCTACATCTACACACCAGTCCACTATCTTCAATATCTACTGATGCATCTGGTTCGCACCTCCTCACCTCTTCGTGGGACGGCCTCATCGGTGTCTGGGATACCTCAATACCCAATGACCATCAAGTACCTCTGGACCGCGGCGATGACAGAAAAAAACGGCGTAAGATCGCTCCTGCAGACATAAAACGGAAAGCACCAATAGCAGTGCTAAAATCGCACACCGCACGTGTGTCAAAGCATTATTTGCCGCCGGCGAACATGCAAAAGGCAAAGCCTACAGCTGTGGTTTTGATTCAACGGTTCGAACCTGGGACGTCGAGAGTGGCGTGTGCATCAACACTATCGTAAGTCTTGTCTTTGCGCCGCCCGGGTCAAGCTGAATACTTCCCCTAATCAGAATGTCCCTGAGCGACCGATGCTCGATCTTGCTGAAACACCGGACGGTAATATCCTCCTTGGTGCATCCACAGACCGCACCGTGTCTATCTTCGATCTCCGTGTTTCATCCCTCTCGTCTTCCACAGGTATCATGATGCACCCCGCGACTCCATCTTGCATCGCTACATCTGAGAGTGGAAAGCAGCAGGTGGTAACTGGTGCCTATGATGGTGTTGCACGGCTTTGGGACCTTCGGAGCACGAAAAGTGCTGTGACCAGCTTCAGGGTCTGGGATGGGATGAAGGTCCTTGCGGTGGACTGGGTGAGAGATGTGGTAGGCATTGGAGGCGAGGGGGGGATGGAGGTGTGGAGAATCGATGGGGGATCTTAATATTGGTGAAAAAAAATACGACTGTGTGGAGTTGGGTCGACTCGGATTCGCCAGGTTGGACATCAGTAAAAAAAAAGAGACAAATGAACATCAACCTTCGGTCTCTTCTACATGTTCTTTGTCCTCGCATCCAGGCACGCTCGAATGCCTTGCTTCTATTAGGGGAATTCTTGGTTCAATCACTGAAATTAGGTCCTGCCCGGACATCGGTGCTCGTTCAAAGTTCTCTCTCGTATGTTTGGGTCCCGTTGACTCAAATTGGATGGATCTTCCGATGGACACGAGTTCACATGCACACGTCGCCGAGGAGTACCATATGTTGGTTTTTCTTATCGAGATCTTGTTTCCAATGGAACAAATGAACATCACCCTCCGGTCTACCTTGATTTGTACTCTCGCTGCATTCAAGTGATCGGCACCAGGATGTTTCTCAGGCGCTGCGCGGACCGTGTTGCTTCCTTCTTTGTGGTATTTTCTTTCCAAAGTCCTTTCTCGTGCGTTTACGTTCAGAATATCTCCACGCACTGGGAGTCAATTGACTCGATTTGGACCGACCTTCCAACAGATAGGAGCTCAAGCGCTCACACATTGCTCACTGGTGGCTTTGTCCTATCAAGACATCGTGTCGATGAAACGAATGAATATCAACCTCCTGCAGTCCCCTATCCATTTGTCCTCGCGCTGCATCAAGATCATCAGTACTAGAAACCCCTGTGGCACCGCGCATGCCCTTGCTCCTTTCTTTGCCATCATTCAAATAGACACGAGAATGTGATGCTGAGCTAGCTGCCGCTGGTCCCAAACCCAATACTCTTACCTCTCGTATTGTGGAAGTTCAATCGAACCCAGGTTCGTGAGTTGCTCCTCTGACATCCAGGGCATCGTGGAGTTGTAACTTTCCCGTGATTCTGGGAGTTCGAGGATGCACGAGCATGGATCTACAGACCTTCATCACTTTTTGCCCAAGGGCGAAATGTGCCCGAGAAAAAATCCAATGGGTGCCGACGCGTGTTATCTCGTTGCAGAAAGACTTGGCATACGGCGGCCACTATCAAACATCTTTGGTGTCTACCACATGTGAGAGGAGATCGTGCCAAGACCGGGCGACACTCCTTCCTTGGGCTGGGTCGGAACATTATCCAAATTCAGTGGCTTTCTCCCAGTCGACATTACCCCGCACGTCATTTCATGCTGCTATTTCCGTGACAAGATGAGATCTGACACTTTATGCCTTGGTTGACAACGAGTGCTCCTCGTTCCGCGAACTGCTGTCGGACTGCATTTGCCCTCGCGTCGCATTCACAGAAGTCAGACGGAGGCATGCTTAACGCCAGGAAACACATTTCATGTATGTTGTCTGGGCAGAGGGGCTTCATGATCTCCCGATGCAAGACAATCTAATCTAATTCCATTCTCACTGGCAAAACTACTGCAGATATTCATACTTGTTTGGCCATGAAACCGATATGTCCTCGGGCTACCTGGTCTTGCGGAGCTCGGACGATTGTTTCTCCGTGCCATATTTTTCGTCATACGAGTCATCCTGACGCGCGCGGCTCTTCGCTGTCATTATCGCTGGCGCAACAGCACGGCGGAGAATGACATCAGAACACGATATTATTGGACGAGTCAAATATAGCTTGACTTACAGCATGACGAACGTCGATTCGGGACGCTAGAGACATTGTAGCCAGATTAGAGTTCTGTGAGCAATTTTAAGCTCTACTTTCATATTGTCTGCTGTCTGAGAATCACAAATACTGTCACAGGTTCACTCACTCCGATCGACTAGACCGCCAGCTCTCTACGTGGCACTCGGCTACGACATTGACTATACTTCATATACGTTTATCATGAAGATCTAGACTCTTAGTAAAGCTCCGAGTCAGTGAAACGCCACGAGGGTAACTTATCCTCTTTTGTGGTTCACGTACGCATCATCAGACACGAAGTATCACATGGTATTGTCCGGCGCGCATACTTGTGGGAGCAACCGGTGATCTCGGATATTTTTGTGCTTATTGCTGCTTTAGCATAGGGTACCTCAACCTCAGCCCTCCACGGCGAGCGGCCAGCGCTTTACCCACGAGGCTATCAGGATAGGGTAGCGTTCACACATCCTTGAATCCGACTGGTCAGGGAATGCCTAACTTCATGTGCCAAATGCAGCGCATGTGGGCGCACTCATTGAAACTGCCAGGACCTGTGGTCTAGATGCGGTCACACCACCATGAAGTAGTATCTCAACAGTTTACCAAATAATCGGTTTGGAGAGATGCCTATCTGGTCGATCGATAGGATACGGGCAGTGCCTTCCGTCGTGGCTCGCAACCACCGCAAAGGATCTAGGCTACTCGAATTGGATTTCCGGATTGCAAGTGTCCAAGGTCCTGATTCGCTTGTGTCGAGTCATGTTGCATAATATTGCCTATCGTATGCATGTTTCATTTCATTTGGGTGTATATTAATGCATCCCTACTAGCCTTGTGGTATCTATCAGGACGCGTGTGTTCATGCAAGCACAGATTAATCAGCCCCTGTGCAATAGTACTAATCAATCAGCTCTGCTGAGCTCATACGATTCATGTCAGCCTGGCATTGTGGCTTACAGATGACGGCATGTCCAATATTTTCACATGATACTTACCAACGAGTATCCTCACACGTTCTATCTAGAACAAGGTAAGCGAAAGATTAATCTAGCTGATTGTGTTCATGGATGATCCTCCTCAGCTCAGATCAGGTGATCTCATGCCCTTAACCCACGAAGAATCTGACAGCGCCAGGCTGTGTGCCTAATTCCCTGAGAATCTTATCAATCGAAGGCAACGCTTGTTAAGCCGGTGGGATACTTCTCTTCTTTAAGTACGGCACTCTACAGCAATACTGTCAATCCGCTGCGGAACGGCCCGCGTTTGATCCCACTGAGCCCGTCATCTGTGAGTATATCCTGTTCATTCCACTCCAAAATCGATTTTTAATAATATTATGGGCATAGCGTATTGACTGCTTGTCGTGATTGGATGTTACAAGATCAGTTCAAGCGGTGTACGTATCCCGCCCCGTCGGTGTTACGAACATTGTCCGTGCGCAGTCATCCGCCCCCCCCTATCCCTCCAGAGCTTCAGCCGCTGGGGTAGGTCTTCTACCCCGCAACTCACAAGCGGCGAAAACCCCGCACCACGTCCAATCTTAATCCGAACTAGCATATCTCACAGCAATTTTTAATGGCCAAAATCCCTCACTGAGCGCTCCTCCGCCTCATCCAAACCCCGCGTAATAATTTAAACTACAGCAAATGGCTAAATCCCGCCGGCAGCGATAGACTCGTATAGTCAATCTGGTGAGGGACCAAGATAGGCGTATAAGATCGGGAGGGGCGGTGTGTCGAGCTACGTTATTCAAGGCTCTCGTCGGGCAAAAATCCCTCTAAGATCGGGATGACGGTTCACCCTCTGCAACTTGGGGTCCTAAATTACCTGGCACACGGTCAACGTGCTCTCGCGTAAGCTTCTGGGCTGGACCTATATATGCTCAAGCTCAAGTCAACGTTGACAGGGGCTTTGATCCCTTCCATTATACACACGTCCAGAATTCTTCGAAACTCTTAGCTGTACCTGGCATGGGACTAACGCAACTAGATTTGCTATCTCCTTGCGCTTCTGGATTGGACGTTGCCTTTCCTCATGTCCATACTGACTTTGGCTATTCGTTTGCAACCTTCCGAATTTGCCCCTGGCTGATTCGACTGGCTGAATGAACTTCTGGCCATATCGAATTGCCTCTTTGGTCCCTCTCCTCTTGACAACCAGACTTTGAGGTCCTAACACCTTGCAATTCCAGCACCACTAGATATACTTGTCGGACTTTGTGGTCGACGAACTCGACTCGGAAACAGCCGAAACGTTATAGTTGAGGCTAAACCTAAAATCCTCGTTGCCTACGCGTTTGTTTTCTGGGTTCCCTGTAAACCTAGTGGTCTTATCTCAACGACGTATCTGAGACTTGCGGAAACTCATCAATGCTATCTTTGCATGCGCTCGAAGTCCTCAAGAGTCGAAGTCGTCGGCGTCTTACAGTGTCAACTCGTAGCTCCTTAACTCCACTCGACTCAACTTCAATATTTAGGCGAATAGGCTAATAGCTGACCACCGTGACGTCACGTCACCGCGGAGACCCTTGCAGTTACCTAGCACGCGACCAATACCTCATCCCGTGCACTTCCTGGTGACATAGACGCGTCCCAGTTCCTCGGCAGCTGATATCGACAACGACTTTCATCCCTCTCGTCATGTCACATACACGCACTTCCTCGGCTCAATAGTACCTGGTCTTTGCAGCACTGAACGTTCAATAACTGATCACGTCACATATCCATCAGCGCTCAGCATCATTACCGACCTCGGAGCCTTTGAAGTCGTAGCACCTTGCGATCATCGGGCTGCCTGCACAACCACTAGATTTGCCGTCTCTAATTGGACGCGTACAAACACGACTTTCATCCTCCCGTCATGCATGTGCCCATCCAGGAACTCCTTAACTCCGTTGGACTCCCGGGCAAGTTACAGCACCGACACTAAACGAACAGCGTCACGTCACCAATGTTCGAATATCCAACACGCCGGACATAAAACCAAATGAATCTCGGATCTCTTATTTATTTTTCAAGAACAACAATGTCGAGAATCGAGACCTCGTCATCATTATACCGCGGCTCAAACTTAATACGCGAGGTGTAATGTACGTTCTACACTCGCTTCAAATGTTTTATTTTTCCATGTCGAGAGTGAAGACCTCGTCATCATCATCGTTATACCGCGGGTCCTCGCTCCTAGGCCTCAAACTTACGCGAGGCATGATGTACGCCCGCTTCAAAGTTTTCAGGCGTTGGTCCTACCCTGTAGCATAATCTTAGACTTACGAACTCAAAGACACTTCTTTTCTCATATCAAGTATTACTATAACCGAGTGCGCATCGCTTCAAAGTTTTAAAAGGAGTTTCAAGTGGATCATTTGTCCTAAACCCGATTGAGCATGCAGCTAGTAGATAGTATAATAATAATGTTAGACTCTGGAGTCTGGATCATCGACATGAGCGTCTTCTTTTCGCGTCTCGTCTTATTAAATCAATACGCCTCGAAATGTATAGCATGACTTCTGAAAGGCGTCTTGTACCCTGCAGGCAATGCATATGGGCCTCTACGATCACCTTGGATACAAATCTTTCACGCATGATACTTGGAGGTACATCTTCCGGACCGCGCAGTGACACGAAGTATGATGTATTGTGTTATGTATGGTATGTTATCAATATGCATTCTCATCGTCGTGATGAGATCTACGCTACAACATGCATCAACCCCAAACCCTTCCCGACTGATGGGCCCAAGTAGATCAAAGATCCGGCCCAGGTATCTACATCAAAAGACCAACACCCCATCATCATAGAACAAACGGCGAAAAGAAAGATAGACAGAAAAGACAACACGAGACGAGATGAGATGAGATGAGAGGGAGCTAAACTGCTGAAGGGTATACTAATGCATTGGGACGTATAATCCATGATGAAATAAAAAGTCAAGTTGAAATGAGATGAAGCGATTGGAAATCAAAGCACAGCATGGCACGAGACAAGACGAGACGGGAGCGATCGTGGCTCCTCTCAGCACTACAGTACAGTGACGAGACGAATGCACTGTAAGAGATGAGCGCGATAAGCTTCACTATCAGGATCCATGCAATGTTAAATAGGACGTACATCGGCGATACCCATGTTAAGCAGGTAATGCGATTGTTGTTGGATACAAGCTAGATATGTAGAGGGATACATGATGTATGAGTGGCGATTGAGATGTCGAAGTTGATCGGGGCATATAGCATAGATATGGAGATGGAGCGGGGGGAGTTTGCGATGGAAGGGGAAGAGACAAAAGCTATCGCTGACGGTATCATTGCCAATCCGGGCTCGAAACATAAAGCCGAACCCTTTCCCCAGTTGGAGTCGAGGACAGAGATGGAGATGGAGATTCGATAGAAAATCTCAACTTGATGGAGATAATGATGATTGCCCGGGGATGTCGACGAAACATCGGCCGGTAAGAAGTCGTCAAAGTACTTGATAAATGAACTGATAACACCGGGTTCTGGTTCTAGTTCTGAACGCCCAACGCCCAACAGAGGTCTTGCACGTCGGATGCGAATACTACCGAACGGAGATGAAGAAGGATGACGACACGAGACGAGGATCAAATTGACGCTAGATGCAAGGACCAAAATAGTATCGCATACGAGGATAAAAACGGCACTATTGCGAGGACGATGGACCATTTTCAGTACAAGCTGCGCATCAGATATGGAGGAGAAGTACCTTAATCGACCATTAATCAGACCACGAGGACTTCAATGCCCGCCTTCCATGATAATCGGCGAGAGATATCGGAGAGACGGCGCCGGTGTAGTGAGGACGGCGGTATGCCCCATGGCATCCGGGACGAGTGGTAGAAAATAAGAGCGATATACGCAGGGACAAGGTAGTAGTATTACAGCGGGCTGTGATGGGTAGGATAGACGCATCATGGGGCGGCGCAAGAGGATATGTACAGGGATTGAGCGATGATGTGATGACGGGGATAGAGCGAATGGACGATATGGACAAGAAGAGGGAGAGCCAAGGGATATGGACAGCGAAACATACTGGAGGAGGTTGGGTCCTCTAAGGACAGGCACGTCAATGCACGGCCTCTTTGTGCCTGCTTATCTTTTCGACACCAGCACCTAAGGATGTCTTTCGGTGATCCTAATAGAGGGTGAGACGGGTGAGACAGGGGAGAGATAAGAGACGTACCTCTGTTTCCTCAACCTCGCTCTCGTCTGAATCTTCCTCTTTAGGAGCGCCGCCTTCATCTACTGCTCTCACTGGTTGTGCTTGGGCTGTCCTTGGCAGGCTCGACTTGGGAGTGTGTAGTGTCGACTACGGGAGGGATGCGTTTGTGGTGATGATGGGTAGGACTCAATCTGACAGCCTCCAAGATGTAGTCTTGAGCTGGGGGTGGGAGAATATCTGTTGTGCTAGGAGGGGTTGTAGGGGCTGAAGAGGTAGCGAGAGTGGATAGATCAGTGGTTGTACTGCCCATCGCAGAAGATCCGTCGGTACTTGTCCGCCTTGAATCTGTATCGGCGGCCTCTTTCTCCCTAGCGAGACGTTCCCTTTCCCTTTGCAACCTCCTTTTCTTTACCCAACCCATACCACTGCCGTCATCTTCGTCATCTGGGGATGGGACACCCACGCCATCATTCCTTTCCACGGGTTCTACAGCACCACCACGGGGTCCAGGGATTTTTGCTTGACTATGAGAAAGTAAAGCGGGAGCGCCCTTTGCCAAAACGGAATATTTTGAGTCGCTGCTGCAGTTTACACTTCCCATACCGCCGTAACCCCATTCTACGAATTCAGGCTCATCACGAACGTTCGCAAAGGGGTTTGCATTATGTTTTGAACCGTATACGCGACCGTTGAGCATGCGTCTACCTGATTTCGTGGGGAGAGATGGGGCAGTGAAACGGTGTTGTGATGCTGTATGACGACCACCTCCTGAACCGGCTGAGTTGATTGAGGAGCGTGATTTTGATTCAGATGGAGATTTCTGCTGGAGAGGTGGTGCTGATGATGATGAACTGGTTCGGGTTAGAGGTGAACCGATGTCATGAGTGGTGGAGCGACCAAGGATACGTGATGTGATATCGTCAGTTGAAAGGTATCTTGTTGGTGATGAGCGTTTGAATATGTGACGGAAGAAGGAAGAAGATTTTGATTTTTGATTTGATTCGAGGTCTGGTGATGTTGTTATGGGTGCTACAGGTGATGGTGGTGTTGGTGTTATGGTTGTTGTCGTGTCGATGGACAGATTCTGTTCTGGTAGAGGAGCGAATCTGATACGACGTGGAGTGTATGCATGCAATTCTGAGGATGAGCAACTACTAGGAGGACATGAACCCGGTAGTTGTTGGGGGGATAGTCTTGGTGACTGCGTAGGTGAATTCAGCAAAATGCTGTTAGTACGAATCATGTTGGGGGCAAAAAAAATGCAACGTCCTCACTCTCTTGGACTCTTAAATGAATGATTTTGTGGATCAGAGGGAGTCTCCGGGGTCACGATCGATCAAGATCTAGTTACCAAATTTAGACATGCTTCCGTTACGCGCCTTTCCCGCCGTCAACCCACAAAGTTTCTCTTAAAATATATATCCTTGCGCTGGCAACGTTGGTAATCAATGAACAATGTTCACTCCGGTTTACCGGTCTCCGTCAGATCTCAACTCAGATCCCAGCTACATAGCATCCCACGTCCACATAATACTCATCCTTGGCACCCTCGGGCCCTTCCGTGCTTTTCGCAATTCTCCGCATGACTCCTGCCTGCGTTTCTTCTACAGTTACCTGGTCCATTTTAGCCGCATCGAGTCTACTCAACTCAGTACTGTCAATCCAAATATTGATGGGCCAGTCCACACCAATTTCTCCTTTTTAATCCCGGAAACGTCTGATGGAATTTTCATCGTCGCGAGCTTACGAAACATCGAATAGGGGGAGATACCTATACGTACCGGCTTTGTCCTTTTAGCACGTTAACGTCGGTAATCCTCGTCCCTCATTCACTTGTCAGCTTCACGGAATTGATCCGTGTGAATTTTTCACCTTATCAACTGAATCAGCACATCTCCGCTCGGAGGATTGCTCAACCTTTATGTTGTCGAACGTTCCACATTGATCCCGCTGCGCAGTCATGACGGCCATGTACGCGTCGCGAATACTGTCACCATCATTCTCCATAGTCTTTCCATTTCTTCACCGATCCTGGGCTACCACGCCATGACGTCGCTACCACTAGTGGCAAGCTATGCCAAGTTTATCTAACACAGTCAACTGATATCTCATCAAGCGCCCCTCAGTCTGCCCTACGAGGTAATCGGCGCATGAACGCCGATCACTGTCCACTTTTCTGTCTTCGCATTCAGCACCGCAGGATCATCCAGGCACGCCTCAACGTCCTGCTTGGCTTCTTTCCTCGCGTTCTCACATATCACTGGCAGCGTTTAAGTATTCGCGTGCTAGCCCTGCCGTTTTCTTCGCCTGCAACGAGTCCCACCGGCAGGGTTTCGCCCGGGAGTTTTATTCCTCGCGTAGCAGGATATTTCCGATAACCCTCTTGTTCCTTACCTTGGCGCACCTGGATCGAACTCACATCGCAGGTGATCGTGTCCACCAGCTTTGTCCTCTGATGTCGAATACCAACGATCGAGGGTCATCGATTCATCCGAGTCGTCACATCATCGTCTACGCTGCCCCGACTGCCTTGCTTCTTTCTTCGCAATTTCCGCCCGGGAGGTCCCGCATGTACATCATGCAGTGCATCATGGTAATTTTTTTTGTCCCCACGACTACCACTTGATGGTGCTGTTTCACTGTGTTGTTCAAGTGAAGTTGTTGGTGCAGTTTTGATGGTGGCAGGATCTAGTACGGCAGAGAGAGAGGTCGTGGTCAAGATCGCGGTCGAGTTCTGTGCCACCAACACTACACAGCTCAGAGGTTCTAGAAGGGTATTCTGTGCTTCACGGCGCTGTCTTCCCAGAACATGTCCTCGATCGGATAAAATAAATAGGAGATCCAAGGCTCGTCTGGTTAATCGTCATTTTCATTGTCCCGTCCGGTCCCGTTCTTTATCTATTTGTCTTTGCATTAATATTCACGTTACGCCGCAGTGATAATCCCTATGCGGGAGTTTCCCGCCCTTCGCGCCACATTAACATCCGGAGTGTGGAGCCGAGCCCCGACGAAGGTTCCAAGGTTCAAGCTTGGCGTGACGAGAATAGTAGATATACACGAGCTCCACGTCGTGCTCTCTATATACCTGGCTTCGTCTTCTCAGGGCCTTGTGTCGCCGCGATGAATCAAAACTACCGAGGGTACCGGTCATCGTCCGGATCCGCCGTCCACAGTGTCGTCGTATCTTTCCAGTCCCCTGTAGGCAGACCAATACGTGGAAGGAAGGGAGGCTTTTCCCATCTGCTGCCTTGCTCCTTCGATTCAGTTCTGGCACCAAGGGCGTTTTTCGCTCAGTCAGTCCCCTCCTGTTGGTGCTCGGTCAAAAATCAAAATCATTCTCGTGCTTTCACGCCCCTAGAACTCAAGCCTGTATCGGATGGGTTTAACTGAAAGAGTAGAGAAGACACGAGTTCGAGTCGCTGTTATGTCGCCTTTTTCCTTATCTCGACGGGACCTCTGGTCACCTCCGTCCCTTGCTCCGCATCGAAGTAATCCTCGACTCAGGGGTTTCCCACCCGACGCTTGCCTCTTTCTTCGCGCACCGGCTTTCGGTTCCTTCTAGATACAGATATGGAAGGCGCATGTCCTATTTCGCGTTTCAATTTGTCCGCTGTTCGTTCGACATCCAACATGCATCCGTGTACGGATCTGTGTGTTGGATGCTCCCGAAATGGCAGACACGAGCTATGTACGCCAAGTCCGCCGACTAGACGTCTTTCGACAGAACGACGAACGTTGAGCCCCACCACCTCGACCTTCAACATGCGATCTATGTGCTGGATGCTCCTGAGATGGTAGACAAGGCTGACAAGTCACCATCGGCTCGGCTCATCTCGATGAAACGACAAACGCTGGGCTTCATCGGAGCATCCAGCACGTAGATCGGATGCTGGAAGTCGAAGTAGTACTGCACCGGGCAGAAAGCTCTCAGGCACCTGACCGACCGACTTCTTTCTTCGCGCAAGCGTATTTTTGGTTCAGCTCTGAATTAGCTCTTCGGAACTACTACATCTGCAGAAACCTGTGTCGAGAAAATCAACAGATCCCAATTCAGTGCTAGTGCACTTATGCACTGCCCTATTAATTATCCAGCAAGCCCTGTTGTATCCAATCCATCCTGTTGGTGCTCATCCGACGTTCTAGCTCTTTCTCGTGCGTTCGGAGTTATGCGCTGGATGTTCCGTGGACATTGACTACAAATTGGACGGACCTTCCAGGAATCCATCTAATTTTAAATCCGGATGTCCCTTTCCCCCCTCATCTTTACTATACTACACGGGCATTCACATCCTCGGCTTAATACCGACACGACGATATCGCGGATCGATCAGTGTGTGGCTCTGTACGTAGCTACACCGCGTCCGGACGCCCTTATCTCGCCAAATTGATTAGACGACGCTTGTTTCAGGAATATGGGTGTCCCCCTACGCAAGAGGTTTCCGTGCACACAAGAGTCTTGATCATGTTCCCGACTCGCATGAATTTAATGAAAAGGCGTTATATATCACTCGGGAAAATTCTGATGCGTGTCATCCTGTCGTCATGCTCAGCCTCACCGTATCATTTTTCTTCCGTACACGTCGGCAAAGCGCGCCTCAGGGGATATGTCACCGCGTACCTACGTCAGTGAATTTCAAGATCGTCAAAAGGTACTCCGAGGAGCACTAGCTCGACTTGATATCAGGATAGCTCAAGGCACCGGCTTTTGAATCTTCTGAGACTTCCAGAATGTGTTTCTCACTAGTAGAATCTGTCTAATCATAATCGGTTCTTTCTCCATGAACGTGCATTAGTTAGTCAAGGCATGCGCTGGTCATTACGAAATGATCCCTGCGAATTTCAGACGACGGAACGTATCGATACTGCGTACGTGTTCAGAGGGCATCTCACACGCGTTTCGGAAAGATGAGTGCGTGGCAACCGTACTTGCGCGCGCGTCGTCTTCTTGAGAAATATTGTGACCCTGGTTGGTGGGCGGGAAACCGCCTGTGTGATATACCAAGGGATAAGTAACCACTTGCTTACACTAATAATTAAAGTTGTGCCTATAGGTAACGCCTTACGGCATGTCATGACGCGGCCTACTACCAGGTCTCCGGGGGACGGTTGATGAAAGATGTTGAATTCATCCCTGACAAGAGGGCTTGGGTTTCCAATTCCATGTTAAAAGCTTCGCAACTGATAATCAGTGCCGATCTTAGAGGGCTTTGATAGAGATAGTCGCACAAACGGCATGAGTTTACGTCTTGAACCCTTTAGTCTGTAATGATAAGTACAAGTCATTGACGTTTCAACGACGGAAAGCGCGCTCGGTAGTTGCCTTGGCCTAGATTTCGAAACTTCTTCCATTCTATCGCGGAGCGCGATAAAGGATAAGTTCATAGATGACTAACAGCGCCTCATGAAAGGCTACGGAAAGCGGTGCTTCATTAAAATTTGTCATGGTTTGTTCGATTCAGGGGTTTGCCCTTTATGTCGACTAGTAGCCAGATTTCTGAGTCCGAACAAGAACGTTTTGTTTTTTTTGTCGGGCCTGAGTTCCGACTTGGAGTTGATGGTCACCGTGCCTCAAGGCATGGGGGTAATCGAACCCTGTCTTGCAAGCCGATTATGTCAAGTTGGAAGGAGAACAATAGTCAGTGCCAAGTGCCAAGAAACACTTAGAACTACATATGACAAATGCCATTGAATAGATTGTTCAGCGAGGGGGTTTGAGACGTCTGATCGAAGACTCGGGGATTAAGTGAACGTGATATTGCGGCGTTCAAGCCTGAGTGTAGGCACATGCAGGCACATACCGGCTTCGCTGTATCACCAATGTGGCATGTCTTGGAGTGATTTGAAGATGCGATAGTGTTCAAAAATGTCAGTCACGACGACATGTATGTCACTGCACGTGTCAGTGAGTTCTCGAACATAACTATCAGATCGATACGATAACGGTGATCGGGGGAATAGTAATCGTGTCAGCTGGTTAAATGCACACCTTGGCGCGATGTCTAGAATTTGAAACCGATTCAGTTTAGTGTCTCATGACGGGCTAAGCTTCGAACGCACAGATTGGCAATTCAGCCCAGAGTGGGTCATCACAACGCGTTGACTTCCACACCTTAGCAATGCGCCGCGCAGCCAGAGAACCCTGACTTACACAGCCACATGATTAGAACTTGTCGGTGACGAACTTGAATGCGACGGGGCGGGGCGACGACCTGGTAACCAAGACTCGGTATCGCGGAGAAACAGCGCGGTGTTACAGCTATAGGTGCCCACACCCCCACCTTCCATGTGTCAAGATCGAGATTCTAGAATTGATCGCTATCAAACATGTTACTTACATAGATCGCACGAGATTGAGAACCCTTGGCAAATTCGAAAGAGAAGTTCCTTCCCATCGGATTACTCCAGAAACAGACGATGCCACGACCCGTGAGCACGGTCATGCACATGCGTGGAGTTGTGGCGGGAATTTTGCTACTGGATTTGTCAGGGATGCGTACATGTCAGGATAATGTGTGAGTGACTAGACCTTCAGATTCGAAGAAACATGACAGTAAGCACATGAACCTAGACACGCCAAGCGCGGCAATGCTTTGGCGTAGGGTCTTAGTACCAATGCCAAGGCT